GCTTGATGGGCATCAAAAAGGCGGAGTATGAAGCCAGTAATGACTCGAAATCACGAGAACAGGAGCTAGAGTTGATGGAAGCTCTACGAGCATTGATTTCGAAAGACGATTCAGCGATAGCATGGGCTAAGCGTAAGGATGCCCTTTGCTTTGTCAGGTTCGTGGTGGATCGTATCCCCACTCCTGTGTTGGGAGAATGTATAAAGATCATTCGGCAAAAGGGAGTTGATTGCGAAAGGAACTTCCTTAGGGCACTCCTAGAGCTATATCAGGACATGCCATTGACCGTGCCAAGCAAGGAGTCGAATGATATGGAAAGCTATCGCAAGTTGGAAGAGGTGAGAAGATACTCCAACAAAGAATTGAAAGTGAGCCGAGAGTTGATTGAATCGGTCAGAGGAAAAAAAAGAGTTTGCTACACTAGGGAAACTGAAGTCGTTCCAATATGTGTCTGGCATACCAGGGATGGCGTATAATCCCTTCGTGAATGAAGAAGCCAGGGAAGCGTACTTCGACTATGAGCAAGTCACAGTGCTCAATTTCTGGGTTGAACGAATTAAGGAAATCGGAATGCTGATGGTGGAACAACCCAAGCTGGGAATTATTTTGGAAGAACGAGTGGTCGAACCCTCGATTCCCGAGCTAAAAGGGCAAGTGAGTTTTGATTGTGGTTCTTGGGACGGTCCCTTGAAAACCAGTCTAGTAGTGATGTGGGAACTCATGAAGCCTTCTTGGTGTCCCCATCCTAACGCAGGCTTAACCTGGGACATGACCGCGGATATCATGTTAGACCGGGATGATGATGCGAGTTTACATGATCTGGCCATGATGCATCACCTGCTGGCCATGAGATTGACGAAGAGGAAGAGCAACCCGTCCACGGAGCTGTCCGAGGAAGGTACACCGAGTAATTGGTTGAAGCAAGGCACATGCTTGGCTCAACACAGTGGGATGGAAGGACATGTTTGTAACCTGGGACACTGCCTGATTACGCTGAGCGAGCAGCATCGACAACTGGCACGATTGTATGGAAGATTGAGCATGTCAGATAAGAGTGCCATGGAGTTGGTCGCGGACTGCCATGGGGTGACAGACGTAAACCTGATCACAGCCTTGGGATTTTATAGCATGACGAGTTCGATAGAATCGCTCGAGCGCTTGGAGCGTGCCCATGAGCTAGTGACGTCCCTCAGCGTGGAAATATTCCCTGGAGCATTACAGACAGAGCAGAAGATTGGAGGCGGCGAGAAGCTCTAGAAAATGAAATGAATCTGAAGGACAGTGAAGCCTATCACAGACCTACTGGTTCAAAATATATGGTGGGTTCAAGCTCAGCGCCGTATTGTAATAGCAAGTATCCTACGCACATGGTGGTGATGGATGCGAGGACGCAACAAGTATTGGTTGACCAACTTTTCTCTGTGCCAAAGTGCGTGAGGTTGGCCAGAATGTCGGAAAGGTCATATGACTTGTTGGCAAAGATCTTTCGGGCAGTCCCGAAGAGATCCGAAGGCGAGTTGCAAGACGTTGTGGGTGAAGAGTTCATGAGACTGAACGAAGGTAACGTGAGTGAGTTCCAGAAACAGAAAGCGAGTGGAGCGTTACCTACTGAATTCCCCACCATAGAAGAGAAAGACGATTTACATAGAATTCTGATGGAAGTGGAACCGTTGCTGAGAGCCTCAGGGTATCGGACCCGAAGGAACATAGTGAGAACCCATGGGGAGTATCCTTGCCACTGCTTGGCGCAGACGTTGTGGTACCCCAAACGCGGGAATCTGATCCTAGTATGGGACGTGGAGGAGTTGTACTCCACGGGGTTGCCCGATCAGAATCAACAAGTGTCAATCGTGGTGGTTAGCGCCATGCTAGCAGTGAGATGGTTGGAGGCTAACGCGGACACAAGTGAGCAGGAGACGGCCGTGCCGACTCCTGAACAGTTGAGCAACGTTAAAATGAGTCGTGAATTGGAGCTTTTCAGAACCACCTGCAAGGTTCTGAGGATACCTAAAGCCATTGAAAGAATATGGTCAAGGCAAAGATTGATGCCTTGGTTCCGTGCAGTGATGACATCTTGGATGTATGAACGCGCGAAGCGTCACATGTCAAGGAACACGGAAGCCTATCAATCTTTCCAGCTAGATATAGGACCAGGAGCCTATAAACGAGCATTCTTGACGCACAGAAACGCGGTCACCACAGCGGTGAAGCGGGTAGCTGGAACGCCTTGTGTTACTGAAGATGAGAAGAAAGAAGTCTTAAGAGCTGACCTAGAACGAAACGTGAGCCTATGTCTTCACAGCAGCTTTTGCAGGAACCGGGAGCAGAAGGTGAATGTGGACTTGCTACCTTGTTGCAAACCGAGGCTGCTGGAACAGGAGGGTTGGGGCACGGCCCGCAACTCTCTGGACATGTTAGAGAAAGTTCTGGAAGACAGTGACGCTGAACACCAGGATGGAGAAATGATGGAATGAAGATGACCGAAGAAGAGAAGAGAAGGAGAAAAAAAAACTTGATTGTCTTTGTGTGTAAAAACTTGAACAAATCAACCAAGTTTTGATTATTGAACTTGTTAAACTTTTTGTTTTGATCTAGTTTGGTCAGACCAAACTTTGAAAATGTTGCAATTGTTAAAATTGTTGAAATTATTGATTTTAGTTACTACTATCTATGTATGTATATAAGGAACATAGGTGAGTATATTTACCTATTTATTCACGACTGAAGTTTTTAACCTGTGTAAGACACAAATTCACTGTGTGGCGACATGGTAAGTTTGAGTAAACTCGCTCGGGAAGGGTGGGTAACTCAATAACTTTCCTAGCCACAGAGTTTCTTAGTTTTAATATAGAAAGGACCGCATAAATGACTGATTATACTTGGTGAGTAGTGTTAAGTTAATTTTAACGGGTGCGTGGCCGTGCCACGTCCCACTTTTTAATCACAAAGAGCAAAAAGAAGTTTTATGGCAAGACGACGTAAGTAGTCAGAAAAGAAATTTTATCTAGGACACTCCTCATGGTGCAAATTTTGTGAAAATGTTGAAAGGCAGTGAGATGTAGTACGATGCCATTTGTGAACACGTAGTGAGTTGAGGTGGAGTAGATAAATTTCATTTTCTTATGCGATTTGTAAGATTGGTTACAGAAAACTGGATAACTACTTGACGATAACCCGGTGTTATGCGATCAATAGGGATATTGATGGAGACTTGTCCGGGGAGTATGTGCCATTCTGCCAGATGACACAACACAACCTTCCGGCGACATAAAAAAGAGTGACGAAAGGCCTTATGAACAAAAAAGTGTTGCGACGGAGGGTCAGAATGTTCTAGAATTTTTATTTTTAAAATTTCGATTGGAAGAAGAACATTTCTGAGAAATAGAAAAAAGACGGCCATTTTGAATAAAAAAGACGAAAAACAGAACCACGATAGAGATTGTGAAGAACAGTCGTGCAAGAAAATTACGAAGCCTCTTATCGTGGCAATAACACACGTTAAGAACCTTAGCGACGGATATTTGTGGAGACGGAGGCTTCAGTGGGGGGAAGAGAAATACCACGGAGCCCTCCCGGGACACGAAATATAGGAGATAAGAGTGTTATCTCAAGAAAATCACGGGAGCGGAGGCTTGGTCCCCCAGAGACTGTTATATGTGAAGGGAGTGGGTAAACTAACTTCAACAGTTGCTGTAATGTCCTAGATCTTAATTAACACCGTTATTATTTAATATTTCAGAGCATGAGTAGATAGAAAAAAGGAAAGGGTCAATCCATCTCCAATGGATTTAATATAAAACTGTCACACAAAAACATATAAAAATAGGTTGTTCGAGCCGTGTTTTTAATGACAATCACGTAGTCTGAGGATCCGAGACTCAGCTATGTGGTTGTGTTCGCATGTAAACGAAAGCTGATCAAAAGTCGTTTGACTGATGGCCTAAAAATGGTAACTTTTTACTTTGCCCTAGACAGACAAGAAAATCAACTGGCAAGGTCGAGACGGTGAAAAACGAGTAGAATTAAGGTAACTGACGCCTGCCAGTCGTTAATAGGTACTTTTTCTACGCTCCGTCGCTGTGTGATATTTGGGCGAATGTTACAAAGATAACCAGAAGAGGAAAGCCCAGTGCGCATATGATATGAAAACACACAAGCGGTAAATTTGAACAAAGAAATCTATTTAATAAGTTTATCAAAACAATTAGGCTATGAATTGCCTAAGCGTATGAATTGCATATTCGATGCCACATTTTTGGGCAAGGCATAGTAGGGCTTGAACACGAGCGATGAGTTTAGAAGCAGGGAGTTGAAACTGAAAAATTATTCCCAAAATATTTATGGTGTTTTGTTCAAAAACTTACATGTCTAAAATTTTGACGCAGAAGCTTTCCTAAAAATTTAGTAAAATTCTTGAATTAATTTCAATGGTTAAGTCACATAAGAGGTTATCACTTCCATATCTAGAAAATTCCAAGGATTTTGACTGGAATACATGATGAAGGGACTCATGACTGTAACCTCGGTTACTATGATACTTTTGACCTTCTGATTACCATGGTTAAAAAAACTATAATCTAATCAATTAATTTTAGAGGTCAATTCTGATTGGCTATTTTTTCAACATGATGGTTAAGGACCAAAACTTATGCGAAATATTGAAAGGACGTTTGCGCATCGGATGTTTTATCGTTATTTCGATAAGTTTATTGTTAAATTCTCGACGATGCAAATAGTTGCGAAAACGTTCGGATTTTACTTTTTATCAAAATTTCTTTCAATGGTTATAGCCTAGTTTTCTTAGCCTCTTATGTGACTTAATTCATAAGCGAAGCGCGCGAACCAAAGTGGGACTGAGCAAGTTTTATAAGATGATAAAGTACGTAGCTTTTGATCTCATTTTTCACCACTTTTTTGTTTTATTAAGTTGACAATGCTAATTGTGGTATTTGTTGGAACAGAAGGATAAATAGTAGCGGAGCTTTTGTTTTTTCAGAAGTGAAGATGATAATTTTAGTCTCCGAGCACTGGAATGCTCAGTAGGGATGAGTTTTTGCTTTGAAATTAAGAACTAGAGAAGGCGACAGATGCAATGTCCCATTTCAGTCTAATGACTTCCAAGATAGCTTCTGGTACGTATCTGAACCCTTAGGCAATACGACTTAGACCAGTTCAAATCTTTTATTTAGTTCAAGTATTGAGAGTTACAAAAAGTTCGGACCTACAAAAATAATTAAAAAGAGCAATCTGCCAATTTCGAGCTAATTTTGCATGCAAATTTGTGTTTTTAGGATTTATGGAGACTTACTTTTTGCCTGAAAATTTAGTTTATGCAGCCAAAAATTGTCTGATATTGGTCAGTTGCTCTTTTAATTAATTTTTTCTGTCCGAATTTTTTGCTATAGAGAATTGCAAAAAGTTGGAACAGACAGTATTAATTAGAAAGAGCAAATGATCGATTTCAGAAAACCTTTCAGCTAACTTTTCAGATAAAAGTTACGACTCAAGGTCACCTAAAAACTTGAGTTAGCATGCATAAACTGCTCAAAATTGACAGATTGCTTTTTAAAATTATTTCTGTCTGTTCCAATTTTTTGCTAATTGTTATACTAATTATATCTCACGTAACACAGTGAATTTGTGAGCTTAACACAATGATTTTGTGATTTTAATTCAGTCAGTTTTCATAGCATTTAGAGACTTGTCAATTAAAATCTGCCCTCCTTGGTTGTTGCACTAATGGAAGTGTCTATGCTGTTTGTGTTTTTCAGTTTCTAACGACCCCGATGCATAGAAAATCACTTTTTAGTTTTCGTATTATAAATTTGATTGTCCCACTATCATTCAGTAGTTTTTCGGTTCGTTTCTGAATGCTTTAAGTACAACCTGGCGCTGCTCCTATAGTACATGCAAACAATTAGTGGAATAGATCCTATGTTTTCCACTTCAAGAATTTTTTACGAGTATTCACGCTACGTGTTTTCTTGCTTTCATGATAATTATAAGCGTTGTGCTGGTTGGCATGTAGCGTGAGGGAATGATAATATTCTCATCGAATAAGGCTAGGCTGAATTGGCCTTACAAGAGTCCCTTAGCGTTGATGTCAAATTTAGCGTCATCTCAACTGGTCATCATATTGTTTTGTTTAAAAGCGTTCGCCTTCCAACGATTGAAGATTCGGCTCTAGTCTCGACAACATGGCAGAAGTTGTCTAGGAATATTGTGAAATTCGTTGTCTCAGTTGAGTGTATCCAACATTGTTGCAAAGAAGTGAGTGAGTGTGAAAATTTGTCTTCAGGGCATAAGCGAGGCGACATTTTGGGTGGTTTTAAAGCATTAATTGGCTTAAATTATCGATACTCGAGTTCAAATTTGCTCATATTTCTTTTCTTAACTCATTCAGATGGTAAGTTGGAAGTTTTCACGGAACATTTGCTGAAGAAACACTCACAGTTGGTTTGAAAATATACTGGGGCGTGTTACTGAAATATAATTGTCGTTTTAATTAACGAAAAGTGAGCTCTAAATAGTGAGCATTTCAGGTTAATGATTTTTTCAGGGAACCGCGTCTATCATAGTATTACCAATCTTCGCAGTTTAATTTAATTTATTGAAAATAAGCTAGTGGGCAAAACTGTACGCAAAGCGAATCGGTAGTTTAAAAAAAAACTAAAATACAAAAGGTGCCCTTCCGTTTAGTTAAGGTAAATGCTTTAGCTTGATCGGGCCATACCATCGTTATAAAAATGCTTATATATCAGCTAATTGTATCATTTTATCAATGAAGTCATATATCAGCATTAAATGCATCGCAATGTTAATTTATCTTAGCCGTACTTCCTCTACAAAAGCGCTAATGGAGTTGTCGATAAATTGAACATTGCGCATCGATCTGCATCCTCTTATACAAAGTATAGAGCGCCTCAGAAGCGCGAAGCTAATTTTAGTTCTACCGGTAGTTTTATTATACGGAACATTTATTTCGAAAAGGAATTTCAATTGGAATAGAAAAGCCATGCTGTAATCCAGTGCTAATTATTTTGATTATTATGGTTTTTGTTATGATTATGATTATTATTGCTGTGTGGGTATGCCACTGGGATGTGAGTCCTGTCTCATTATTTACAATTCTCGGAGGAAAACTTTGTTTGCAGGCCTTCTAAGTATTCATATTTTTTTGGTTGTTTCCTGTGCTTAGGAGCTGTTTTTTTTGCAATCCTGATCAGCCTTCTGCCTTATAGAGCACTCGCGTTCAAAATCCAAAGTTTTCTTCTTAAAGCTCGAGTTACTTATCGTTCTTTCTTCTCATTGTCATCTGTTTGTTAAGAGCATGTGAGCTAGTTTTTGCTATCCAAAGCGCATAATTTTGCCATCTAATTGTTGTCCGAGGAGTCAAATCTTTGATTAAATCGAATACCCAGTCAGACCAAAGTTTGGCGATGACGTTCGCATTGCTGTCAATGTTTGAAGAGGTTGTTGGACCATGTTTTCACTCAGTCCATCAAAGTCACACTTGCAGAAGTTAAACCTCTTTTCACGGTTGTTTATTTTCCTGCTATTTGCATTTGACGAAGTTGGGAAGGGATCAAAATATTTTCAAATCATTTGGGCTAGCGAATGATGTTAGTGGTTTATCATTTTTAAACAACATGGAGACGCAGGTTTTGCTTTGTTTTGAAGTTCACTATTTGTTTCATATTTGCTTCCAGTGTCTTGGCTACAAAGTTGTCATCACACTGGTTGTTGTTAGTCGTATATGTCTACCAGTCATTTTTAGGCAAATTGAAATAGCCCGTCAGCATTCTTTTTTTTGTGGGGAAACTTGCTGAGAAAGTTACGCATTTCAGTGACTGACTGCATTCAATTGGTTTCCTCGACAGACTGCTGTCTGGTGGGTTATACACTACTGCAAGCAAGAAAAGGTTGATTAAAATTTATTCTCAGAAGCACAAAAGAGTCCTTGACCAGGGTTGGCATGTTATTTAACATTGTTATTTAACATGGAATTTAACTTACAGTGTTATTTACAATTTCTAACAGTGATGTTAGCTATTTCTTAGAGATATGAGTAATTCTTAGAAAAACACAACGCAACTATACTGCATGCTTGTTCCGAAACGATTGTAGCGAATCCCGGACGGATGAAAAAAAAATTTCAAACCAATTGCAGTTTCACTTGACAAACTACAGAGCGAAAAATCTCACCTGACGTATGGGAAGCTTCGTGCTCAACTCGGCGTTGAGAAAGCCGGAAAGTTGGCGTTTCTGTTCAAGAAACTCAACTCTTGTTGATATGTTAATTTAATTAACAATTTAACAAAAATAACATGTTTTTTTTCGATAAATAACAGTTAGTTTGTTATTTTTGTTTTTAACTTACATTTTGCCAACCCTGTCCTTGACTTGTAGTATTGTATATTTTTTTGGGTCATTGTCAATTTGTTGCGATCGGCTCTGTAAAGTTTTGTATTTTTCAAGAAAGAGTTCACCATTTTTCATTTCCTTTGTTAGCCATGTTTCAGTGAGCTGAAGTGTACACTTTTCTCTATAAAATAGATTTTGCACTTTGTTTCTTTGATTTCAAAAGACTTCGTACGTTATTAAGTAGGACCTCGTTATTTCTATCTAGTCATCGTTCTTGTATTTGTTCATTTTTTTAAATCATTTTATTTTGTCTTCTTTTCTTATGGACATTTATTTTGCTAGTAATTCCGCGAACGGTTACAAAGTGTTCTGAGTTTTCGCCGTCTCTCTCCTTGGCGTTAGAAATCTCTCTTTTGAGCGCACTCGTTTCTTTCGTGTAAACTTCTGTAATTCTCCTCTGCTTCAGGGAGATTTCTCAATTTCTCTTGCTTGTCCTGAATACGAATTTTAGAGGGCGAGCGTCCCTATAATTTTTTCCCATGCAGGTCCCTTTTATCGCTTTCTTTAATTAAATTTCTCTCACAATGTCCAGCCCTTTCACGCAAAAGTCATGGAGAAGCCCAATGTCGTCATTCATTCTGTCTTCGGCCAAATTCTTTTTACTTTCTTCGACTTTGTGAAGTGTTATGTTGCTCTCCCGTGACTCTCGGTCTAATCGTTCCTTTTCCTCGTTTGAAAGGGTGTCTTTCATAATGTTTTTTTAGTATTTGCCGTTTGATATCGTTGCTTCTGGGATAACCTGTTTTCAATTCAGTGAGCAAGCTTTCTTGGCGTTCCAGAATATCTTTCATTTTCGATTCAAAATTGCTATCAAACTGACAGAAATTTGCCTCATTTGCTGTCTCAATTTTAGTATTCAAATCGGCAGTTGTTTTCTTGCTGTCCGTTAGTTTCTGCTCAGCGTCTTGAAAGTGTCTGTGGTTTTAGGGCACTCGGTTTCTTCCAGCTTTTTTTTACCAGGTTCAAGTCATTTTTTATACAACCACATCAAGCCTGGTTTGTTCACATTCAAAGCAAGCCAGTGAACCGTCCTTGCATTCTGAGCTACACTCGCCACATGGGATGTTAGTCGATAGATTACCTGTATGTTCAGCCATTTTAAAGAGTAACAACACCCCTCCAAATCGTTAAGGATTGGATACACAAAGCTTTTTACCCAGAAAATGTGCCTCTTGATCAATTATGATTTTGGAGTTACAGATTCTGCTCTTGAGTTAACAATGCCCTACCGAACTGCAAGGGTTTAGATGCACAAAGTTCAACAAACTTTTTTAACCAAACAAATGCCCCTCCTAATCAATTAGGATTTTCGGAGGCACAAAAACACGTTTTAAGTTACTTTAATTGTGTAGATTTTTTTGATTTTGTTTTCGTTTTTTTTCTGACGGTTTATTCTTTTTAGTCTTGATGTTTATCTCTTTCGATTCTTCTTTTCCAATCTTTCTTGAAGGGCTTGTTTTTGGCTTGATAGGCGGGGTCGTTAATTTATCGATTTTTCTCCACAAGTAGATAGAAGCTCTAGTTCCAAATCAAATGATGAGTGAACTTCGGATAGTATCTGCAAGACTGTTTCAGTTTCAATTTGGGTTTTCTACTCGAAGTCAGCTTCCTCCTCGCGTATTTTATTGGAATCCCGATCTTTTAAGGCTGCTCTAAGATGTTGTTGGTTCCTGCTCGTTGGACATACACGATTCCAGCACTTTTAGGGGAGAAGTAATGGATGAAACGGAGAAACTTAGGGATACTATAGGGTCGATATTGAACAATGCAGCTGGGTGTTATTATGATTTAATGTCGTGCCAGATTACATTTTTTATGGGCTCTTTGAAGCCTTCGTTTCTTCAAGAGGTTCTGCAAGATCTTCAATTTGTTTTTCGCTTTTCCGTTGAAGCAAAATCCCGGGATGGTGTAGTTTCTTCCGAAAAATTGTTTGGTCGTAATATGGAATAAACTGGAATGTATGGTCCAGCGGTTCCGCGCCAATAGGAAACATTCAGTGCCGGTCTCTGAAATCTCTTAAGTTGTTAAGAGCTATCCAATCCAGCTACCCGGTCTTTCTAAAATCCTCTGAAACTATTTCGTACCCCTACTAAGGTACAAGGTTTAGTAAGATGAATAATGGTATGATTTACCCAATATAATCGCTTCAAATATAGTATGACTATTATTTTATTAGTAATATTATGAATTGGGCAAAGGTAGGGATTGCTGCCTAAGATACAGTGAGAGATCAGATAAGGGTTTCTCATTCTACACAGTTTGCACATGCATAAGAAAGTTCAGCTGCAGGTGCGCAACAGTTATAGTTTAAATTGATGTGGTCATGTTTCATCAAAAAATACTCGTTTTTTTGATGAAACATGACCACATCAATTTAAACTATGAGGCTATTGTGTTCCTGGAATTCACCTTCTCCCAGGTTAGATTGTCATGATGGCGTGTGCTATACGGTACCAGTAATTATTCCTGTGGATATCGTATCTGACAGCAGAAAGAACAAAAGGAGTGGAATGGTCAGTTTATACTAAGTGCCATATATTGCAGTCCTAATTTAATGTTAATACGCTGCATAGAGTCAGGAAGTCTTTCAACACCTGAAAATAGGGCTATGGTAGAAAATTAAGAAAATTCAATGCTTCATAATAGGTTACTGCAGGCTAAATCCAGTTGGTAACTTTTCTTTTGAAATTCTCCAGTAATTTTAGTTCTTATTTTTTGATGGACATAAGCGTTTGCTTACATATAGAATTATTGGTCAGATTGTCGACTTGTAAAAATCAAGTTTATTCTGGGGCGATAAATTTTTTGATGCATTTCTGCGTCAAAACTGATAGAAATTGTATGTTTTCTTGTTTTTAAATTGAACATGATCAGGCCATGTGACTTTGAAGTTAGGAAACTGGCCCAGACTTTTCACAAGTGAGAGTGAAGAAAGATATTCATCTTCGACATTTGGGTGTCCATGACAAGCTTTGATTATCAGAAAATAGATTTCCTTTGAATTTAACGTTATTGCAACTGCTCCAACTTTGTAAGCTATTCAGATCCGTTTATGTTACCAATACGACGAGACGAGTAAATATTAATTTCAAGTAATCAGCATAGGATAGGTGCTATAGAAGATAGAGTCAGGTAGATGATTATTAAAGTCGACAAGGATAGCCGGTTACTGAGCAAGAAGCATAGAATGTTCCGACGGGGAGGGTTCTCATGCTTGAAGGACCGAATGCTTGAAAAATTTCAACCAATCAAAATCGCTAAGCGTTTCTATTGGCTAAATGCCTTTCTCACAAAATCGAAGTCAATATTAACAGAAAATGTATTAAATCAGTGGAAAATAATCAAAAATATTACAAATTGCGGGTTACAACCGCAATACTATTCAGATAATCATCAAGATTAATGAGGTCAAAATCATAAGAGGTTTCCAGTCTTGAAAACTCATCTGCTTATTATCAAATCGGTCAATATTAACTTTTATGGCCTGGATTTCTTTTCTTACTTTAAGTTTTTTGCGATTTACTTTGAGATTTTGAATGCTCAATTCTGATTGGTTGAAAGTAAGCTAAATTAATTTCAAGCATTCGGTCCTTCAAGCATGAGGGACGCCACCTGTTCCGACCATATATCTTTCAAATTAGTTTCGTTTTTTTTTGCGTGGTGTGATACAAGGATCTGAACAATAAACTACAAACTAGGCATATTCGACAGTCTTAGAAAAACAGGCAAACTGGACAACCGCTTTTGAAGATAAATGATAAGAAAAACCCAAAAATAAGAATTTCATTTTTTTTTTCAGTTTTTTTTGCCCAAAATTGCGTTAATAAAACTCCATTTTTAGGGGAGAAGAAATGGATGCTGCAGAGAAACTTAATGATACTACAGGGTCGATATTGGTTTATGCGGTGGGGTGTCAATTTGTGATTTAATATACCGAGCCAGGTTTCAATTCGAAGCCTTTTTTGCATAAATATTTTGAGCTTTTGATTCACAAAATGGCGTTAATTCCAAAAACTAATACATTCGAGTAAAACTAGACTTAACCACAAATAAGCTATTGTAAACGGCCTAAATTAAGCAAGCTCGCTCGCTTTACTTGCTCGAAATTACGCGATAGATAAAAAACTTCGAACTAGTTCTTCTCGAAACTGGAAAAACGTTTTGGAAATTTTTCATTGCCGTTCGAATCACAACTGAAAAAAAACCACATAAATATTCCTCCACATTTGTCAAATGGTTGGAACAAAAATAGTATGGGCTTTAGAAAATAGCCCTGGGCTACACCAGAGGCTACGGTTTGGAGTTTTGAGACAGATCTTGCGACTTTTGCAGATCGGGGCTTTTCATCCAGATTCCTACAAAGAATATAATAAATGTTTGAATGCGCCAAATGTGAGGACGTTCCAAAGCAGATTGTTGTGGTCGATTGTGTCTATCGCCTTTAAGAAATCTAAATAACACAAATCATTGATAATTCAGTCCCAGTAAATGACCTATAGAAGGAATTGAACGAGGGTAAAAGCTGCGGGATATCTGATTGTTGTCGTTGTTACTTGCTGTCAGGAACGTGATGTTCGTTAACTGAAAAGCGGAGGGTACCGTATTTGGAAACCCGAATGAACAGTCATAATATGATCATATTGCAAATGCCTCGAATATATACCATTTTTAGCTGTATGCACCACTATTATATACCAACTATTTCTTTTTAAGAGTAACGAGCGTAGTGAAGACTCCTATATACGTCTTACTATTTTTTTTCAGGAATCCTAAAATACTCTAATAACTACAGATGTGCATTCATACATATTGATGCATTCATGAATACCCTTAGGTATTTATGCACTTTTTGAGTTCAATTGAAATTCATCTGCTGAAACGGGCGTAAATAGCACTCTTCAAATAGGAACGCGGAAATGGCGCAAAAATGTGGAAATGGCGTGAACGATTTCTAGTTTCGGAAGTCGAATTTATTTTCCAGACTTTCAGCGGAATAAAAACTTTACTTGTTGATCCAGTTTTCTCAATCTGGGCTAATTTTAATCAAAAAAAGCGCCATCACTAATTGTTCTAGAAATCCAAAGAGCTTAAAGGGCATCTGTTTTTTTTCTATGAAATTCGAAAGCTGAGATTTTTTCATTAATATCTGTGTTCGTTTGTATACTTACGTTTATTACTTTTTCAAATCTTCGATTGGCTATGTTTAGCTATAGAGCCAAAGATTAAATTCACGGTTTCAAATCAGTTGCTTTTGAGAATTAGTAAAGCAGATTAAGTGCGCAAACGGAACTCAAAAAGAAAATAACTTATCATAAGGAACACTGCTATTTCGGCCGGCCGTAGGCACAGGTCTATTGGGGTGAGTACATTCGGGTCTGGGGAAGTTAAGAGATGGAGAGTTCTTTGGGGTTAGGGGCAGTGGGAACAGTTCGGGGGACGTTAGCATCTATCCTATTAATATAGGTATTTAAATTGAGTAGCGGAATATGAGCTGCGCTAACGTGCGCATTGTTTAACGGGGGAATAATTCCTCAGTCGAGGAAGTATCAGGCGGCGTAGTGGGAGAACTTTGGAAGTGGGCGCGTCGTTAAACTTGGTGTAGTCTAGACAATTTACCCTCTGTAGTTTTGGTGAAATTTGGTGGTCTTTCAGTGCCCTGCCTCTGAATTTTTCAAATATGTCCAAGACTAGTTACGCTACTGAATATTGCTCCAAAGCTCTTCCAAAGAATTCCGCGTGCTCATCTTTTTAGAATACATTGTGCCCCATCTCAATATGGCTCTCTGCCTAGGCCATCAGATATCCTGCAACCTCCTGATCAGATATCCCCTGTTGATGGGAGGTAGTAGTTGTGCCATTTGCAGACAGTATTGACAATCAGTATAATATTTAGTTAACATGAGTCCATGACGTGCCGTAGCTTCAAGACATGCCCTAGTTGAATGTACTTCTTTTTTTTTTAACTGGAAAGAAACGGTAGCCGCTTTCGATTAACATGATCCGCACTATCTTATGTAATGTGAGTATTGACTGTGGATGGGTGCAGTGTGTGTGTGTGTGTGTCTTTGTTTACTAGTATGTGGTTGTATTGTGTAGTGGGTGGGGGCAGTAGCAGTAAGGTGCAGCAGTTGCTGGAGGGACTGCAGAGTGGGGATGAGAGTGTGCAGCTGCAGGCGGCGCTGGAGATGTGTCAGCTGCTGGTCATGGCCAACGAGGACGACACCCACCCCGACCTCACCCCCACTTCCTCGGCGGCTGCTGCTGCACATTTGGGAGGGGGAGGTGCTGCCGGGTTCCCCACCAAACAGACAGTGGCTGCTCTGAGTGATTTGTTGGGTAAAGAGCACAACTTCGAGCTGATGAATGTGGCCTGCAGGGCTCTCACCTACCTCATGCAACTCTTCCCCAGATCCACCACAGTCGTAGTGGACTGTGTGCCTCTGCTGCTTCAAAAGGTAAGAAAGTGATTACTTAACATCCAGTCTCCTCTGAACAATTGCTACTTTATCTGCAACAGCCTTACCTTCTTTCAACTGTGCCCCTAAAATTTCCAGAGACTGTCATGTAGAGAAATCGTGCAACGATTAAACGAAGAAAAAATGATCAGCGTTTTCGGGTCGGAGAATCATCTACAGCATTATCCTAAGCATTCCGTCTCAAAATTTCAACCGTTAAATGAGCGAAATCAAACAGCTTACTGTAAGCTATTTACAAGAGGCTGTTGACGCAGCTTTTTTGTTTATATTTGTTGTTGTTATTGTGTGTGTGTAGGTTGAGCACATAGAGTGTATGGATGTGGGGGAGCAGAGTGTGTGCGCCCTGGAGATGTTGTCGCGCAGACACCACCGCACTCTGCTGCACGCGGGCGCCATCCACGCCACCCTCCTCTACCTAGACTTCTTCTCCATCCAGGTAACACAGCAACACAAATACACACGCACTCGTTAGCCATTTCAACTTGTCATTTAATATAACCTCTTCATTCTGATTCATATAATCAATGATATTGGACTCCTCATCTTTTGTCATGTAAAAATGTCTTTAAATATGTTTCCTGATTCCCACAAAAAACATGGACGACAGATACGATACATATTCTAAGTTCACATTTAATGTGAAAGATCTCTTCGATATACTGGAGAAAAAAGAGACACAACAAATTGTTTTCAATGTTTTTACTCAAGTCACAAATGAAAGTCTTCATTAAAAATGTTACCTTATGCTGTTGCTGTATAGCCTGTATTCACAACATCGTTTTTATAGCATCCTTTCAATTTTGAATAGTTAGTTGCAAGTTCCTGTTTGATAATAGCGGGTCTTATGAAAATATATGGGATTTGGTTTTTTTGAGAAGCGTTGGCAAACTTCAACCCTTTTCTAGGAAATTTAAGTTTCCCCAAGAACTACTCTACTGATTTTCAAAAAAATCCTTTGGGCAAACCGGCTACTCCACTATTGGCGAGCACATTCAGCTTCTCCCTTTTTACTTTATCACACGATCGGCTTTCGAAAATATCAGTGGGTGAATCAGCGATAAGCAAGGGTATTGCAACCGGGTACTAGACTTTTTCCCGCAAACAACTTTGGTCACAGAATGATAAATATTTAGAAAGTTGTTTGAAATGGTAGATTTACAAATATGCAGCTTATGTAGCGTACTTGTTTTGGCTGTTTAGAGCTTGCATTTTAGCGGGTAGATGCAAATGTCATGATTTTTTTTGCCGAAAGTATTTTGGCTGTTTTTCAGCTTATGAAGTGTCGGCTTTAATTCTGTCGGCTTTCTTGCCTAATGTTCTGTTTTAGCTTGTTTCCATTCGTTTTTTAAATTTATTTCAGTTTTGTTTGAAAAAATTCGAAAAAAAATATGAAAATTTTTTCGAAATTTGGTCGATAATTTTTCTGGAATTTTCTATTTAGTTTTTTCTCTTTCAAAACTTTATTGGGATATTTTCCTCGATACTTCTTGATCGGCCTGCAGTTCTTATCATATTATTTGCGGCGAAGGTAATTAAAGTAATGAGAGACTCGGTTTTAGTAGGCCTTAAGTGCTTTCATATTTTGCTCGTAATTTTCAGAATTTCTTTTGTTCAAAATAACAATTTTGTTTTGTTTGTGCTATTTGTTTCTTGTTCTTTTTCTCTCCTTCGATATAGTGTTTTTTTTTTCATTCGCAAGTCAAGTTCAAGCAGGCTAATATGATTCAGGTGTTTCGTCTTTATACCTATCAAAACTTGATGATAGCAAAAAAAAATAAAAATGGACGACAGTTTTTTTCGCCATCATTTTTCTTTTGGATAATTTTTTGTCCTAGTGTGTTTGGACTTAGTTCAGAGCAGTTTTTTGTTCTTATTCCTCGTAATGTCTGAGATTTTTCGTGTGCTAGTCGATTCAATTTAATGGCACATCAAATTTAATGGCACATCAAATGAAAAAAAGTCAAAAGTTGCAACATTTTCTGCTTTTAAAAAATCCCACGTTTGGATTGTTTTAGGAACATTTATCCCGTTTTTTTTCTGCATAGTTACCGCTCTGTAACTTTTTATGCTAGTTCATTTCTGGTTGTTGTGTTCCGCCACAGGTTTTAATCAAAATTAGTTCCATTTTGAGAAAAACAGATAAAAATTCGGGGTGTTGTTTGTTGGCGTTTTTTTTTACGATATGGTGGCTTTATGTATCGCAAGTGGTATTAAGCTCAGCTTCGCCTCTGCGTGGATTGTTTTCATTTTAGCAAAAACTACTTGGCTAAATCTGTGAGATTTTTTAGAGTTTAATCGAAAGAACAGGTTTTCGTCGATCTCTGCTCAAGTGGTGTGGCCCTAATTTTTCGATGAAAAAATGTTCAATTTTTGAAAACATGCCCGTTTTTTAGAAAATTATTTTTGTCAAAAACTACTTTTGCTGATTTTGTCTATTGTTAGTTGGCTAAAAGTGAGATTAAGGGTTAAATGGAGAAAAAAAACAGCTAATAGGAGTTTTCACTGCTTAAGCAGCTACGCCCTAATGATTAGCAGAAAGTTAGTTTTGGACTTGGAAAAGTATGCTTTTTTGACAGAGTTTTAAAATAATTGTGGCCAAAAACTACTGACAAATCTGATATATAGGATTCAATCGAAAGAACAGGTGTTGCTTGGATTTTTTTCTGCCTGCTCTAAAACATAAAACTTTTGCATTTGTAAATTTTTGAAAATTTCATCAAACAGATACCCAGCTTTGGCTGGGCTCTTACTGTTTTTTATTGATCAGCGGCCATAGAACACATGCTAGTGTGTGTGTTGCTTTTAATCTCGAGTTCGGAGAGTTGATTCTGGCACATTGCAGAGTTTTTGTTTGTTTTACTTTTGCTTTTTTACGTTTTTAAATTATCTAGTTCCATTTTCTCCAGTGCATGCTGCAACTGCACGACTCTATTAACACCCCCGGATAAGATCAATCAAATTTTTAATCAAACACTTGTGTTTGTGTGTGAGTAGTAGTTGTGATTGGTTGTTGTTGTTGTTTGCAGGCACAGCGCAGTGCCCTGTCGGTGGTGGCCAACTGCTGTCAGAGTGTCACCTCCCCCTCCCTCCTCCACTCCATCTCAGCCAGTCTGCTGGATCTGGGCTCCCGTCTAGCGGCAGTGAGTGGCTGCACCACAAGTGGCCAGGGGGCCGGTGGGGACAGCAAGTGCACCCACAGCATAGTGCTGGCATTCTCCCGCCTAGTGGACAACTTCATCCTCGACCACAACACACTCGACCTCATCCTGTCCCCCTCACTACTCCTCACGCTCCAACAACTGGCAAGTAGCCATCTCCCCCCCCCCCCCCCCCCCCCTCCTCTGCCTATTATCCACTATTTGAGTTTCAAGGAGCCCGGTCATCACAAATAAAGAAAAGTTATTATTGTTCTATGAGGTTTTGCTGATTTAGAACGTTTTTTTCTCGAATAATTATCCTTTCGATAAGCAAAGGCATTGCAATTGAGTACCAGACTTTTTTCCCGTAAAGCAATTTGTTCACAGAATGGGCGAAATTAAAATGGATATTATTTCAATAAAACCATGGATAGTATGGCGTGTAGTAATTGTGTATTGGGAATTGAGCTCTTTTCCAGTCCCCCCCTCGGAAAATTACAAACAGATTACAAAATTAAGCTGTTTAAAAATTGTTCACACGGCATTTTGCATGAAAGAAATGTTGTAAAAACTTCACTTGTTCACGCTGACACGTTTTAATGCAGTTTATATTGAGAAAAAGCTTTTAAAACTGATTTCCATATATTGAATTTCAGAAAAAAACAAAGGGGGGACTGGAAAAGAGCCAGGAATTGTTTTTGGGTGCCCGTTAAACGTGTTTTCAGAGTATTTCTTTTGTGCCGAAAATTTTAGGTAGAGTTTCGGCGCTAGAAGTTGGCGTTTTTTCCGATTGTTTTTTTATTCGGTTAATTTTCTTTGGTATCATATGGGAGTAATTGAATTCCGATATGAAGTTTTAGAAAAATTTTAATTAGACCTATACTATTTTTAAAAATTGCAAAAAAAATTAAACAAAAAATATTTTCAGTTTTTGATTTTTTTTGATATTTTTTCTCAGTTCAACTAACAAAAGTGGTATAGGCTTTTTATTATTTTGGGTTGTTCAATCGGTTGAATTTATTGCATTCTTATTGGAGCAGATGAAATAGTAAATTAGTTTTAACATTTTTCTGTAGTTTTTTTTAAGTTTTTCGACATTTGATTTTTTCAAAATTTTGTTCTTCAAAGAGCTTTAAGGCCATCTATATTTTTTTTCAAAATTAAAAAGTGTAAGGCTCTTGAATAACATGTCAGTTTTTTTTTCAGTTTTCTTGCGTTCATTACTCTTCTCCAACTGTTAGTTGGCTATGTTAATCAATATTAATTTGATTGCGTTTTTTCGATTGAGTTTTTGTTCAACTTACTCTTTCTGTAGACTTGTTTTTGTCTGATCGGAGTTTCTTTTTTAGGAGTTAAAATTGGTGTTTGTGACTTCAAATTTTGTCAAAATCATTTTTTTGTTCTCAATCACTGTCCCTTTCTTGTTTTTTACCGCCTTGTTTGATTCGGTGTTTTTTGAGCAATTTTTTTAAACCAGAAGAATAAGTTTTAGGATTTTGAATTGGTTTTGAAATTTATCATTTGCACTAGTTAAGTAATTTTAGAATTGTTTTGAGTTTTTTCAGGTGAAGTGTGTTGTTTCTTTAGTCTTATTTGTTTTGATTCGTGAAAAATGAAATACAATTGTTCGGCAACTGTACCTGAAAAAAAAACCAGAATTCGTTTTTTCATCAGTGTGCCGTTAAACACGCCAGTTGGAGTCAAACTGATTTTTTGCTTGTTCAGTTTTCAAAAACGTATCGCAACAATTTTCCAATCTGAGAACTTTTTAAAGAACTTTTTTTCTTGACATATATTTTTTTCATCAGAAGTTGTGCGAAGCTCTTCTTCGCCTCTGTGACACAAAAAGTATTATGATGCTGTTGTTGTTGTTAGTTGTCGAGCTCTCCGCCTGTGCTGACTGGCCAGTGTAGTCGGCTGGTGGTGCGTCTGCTCTCTTCTGTGGCCGGCAGCAGTGCTAGTCTGGCCACACAGCTCCTCCGCAACCACATCCACTCCACAATTCTACACTTGCTCATAGGACCCACAGCCGCCTCTGCTCACTCCTCCCCCGCCAACCCAGTCAATACTCCCCCCGACCCCAATTCACCCAATCAATTCGAGGCGCCCCCTCCATCCACGCCCATTCTGGATATGTTTACAGAGGCTGGCAGCAGAAAATCTCCCTCTCCCAATGGGGAACTCAGAATACTCCCAAAGAACTCCCAAGAGCTGTTGGAAATCACAACCCTCATATAGTAAGACTTCGAAGGATCTTCTATTTTTGATGCTTTCAAATTAATTCACGGTAATCAGACTTGTCATTGCACATGGGGAGTAAGGTTTTATTAAGCGTTATGGCCGTCTTTTTGCTTTCAACAAGCAAATGAACGGATTTTTTCTTCACATTTTTGTGAAGAAAGAAATTACTCGTTAAAATTTAAATTTTTCTCAAGCCAGACCTAGTAATTTTTTCAATTCTTTTGTCTGTTCCGCGGCGTAGAGACTAGTTATAGATTATCAGCGTCCTAAAAAACCAAATTGAGTCCATACATTCAAATTCCTTGAGTTGTTTTTGAGGATGTTTCCGGAGCGAAAAACCTGAGACTAGTTATGATATACTGGCAATTGTAAGCCTTCAAGGCAAGATTTCTCAATGTTTAATCCAATTAGCTCCTTCCAATTAGTTTCATCTAGCATCTGTCAAAATTTCAGTTCTATATTTCAATAGTCGCAAAGAATACAAAAACGTGGATATAGATGAAATTCGTGCATTTAGTCGTTGAAATCCACTATTTGCAACTTCATTGTCCGTGACTGTAGATCATGGTGATTTTTTGTTTTTGTCAGCAATAATTCTCTTGTACAAAAATGCAAATTATAAAAGATTTTATAATTCAAAGAGCTCTGTGTTAATATTTTTCTGAAAATTTCTCAAGAAGTTTTGCATTTTTATTAAAAATCATAAAGTTAGTGGTTATTCTCATATAGGTCTTAATGATTCCTTAGTTTCATCTATTTTTAGTTGCCACATTACTGATTTTTCTGTTTTTTGTGCTGTAGGCAAGTTCTCTTGCAGTTGCCAATACAGTGCAAAACCCCCACTGTTGGTCTTTCCTTGAGCAGGACCGGGAGATAATAATAAAATAAAGTTGTTTTTCAGTTTACCTTTATAGCATTGTTTAACTGATTCCATATAGCTGTTTAAAAATCTGGCTCTTTTTGTTGAATTCCTAGAGCATATACTTCCAACCACGTTTTTTTTCTTCAAAAAATCGAGATATGGCTTGAGCTGCTCATTCTCAGTTGTAGTGGCGAGCAAAGATCAAGTGCCAGCTTCAAATGAGGAAGGAGAGCTACGAGTTTAAGGAATGAGAGCTAGCGCAATAATAGATTTAAGTTTCTTTCATCAATGATTGTCCTTTCTGTAATCAACCGCCAGTCCTATTTTCTGAATTTTTCGCTAATTAGTCTGCGCACAATGAAAAAAGTAACCTTTTATAGACACTTAAGAAAATTCTGATTTGTTTGAATTGCTGCTTTTACAAAGTCAGTTTCAGGTTTTGTTGGCTCTGATAGAGGTTAAGTTGACATGAAACCCAAATTGCTGGTTGGTATTGCTTCTGAGTTTAGAGTTGTAATAAAAAACAGTGAGCAGTGTTTTTTTGATAAATCATTAAAGGACAACTTGTAAAACTGCCATCAGCATGCCAGTTGTGTATCGCTCAAGAATGAGTATGTATGAATCAGTGTTGAAAACAAACAGTTGGTCGCTGAGTTTTGAGACAAAAGTTTCTCCCTCTTAGATTTGCCTGAAGTTTCATGGAAGTTGCCGTGTCCCCCATGGTGTTTGACTCTACTCCAAATTCTCTTTCGCGTTGAAATGCTCTCGAAACAGGCGTACATTTTGGCATGTTTGCTGCGCACTCAGACATAGTTACGAAATCTTTGATAGATAAACCGGGGATGTCTTTGCGTGTTTGGAGCTCGTTCTTAAGTTTTTTGCATGACATTAAGTTATTCTATAAAAATTAGATTTTGCCCCATCACACAGATTTTTCAAACGGGTAGAAATATTTTAGTAAGTATTTATCAAAGTTTGTTTCTGCGTGTTCCACAATTCTAACAGCTAGGAACGCTCAACGGTCGTACTTTTAAACCCCTTTTAAACTTATGTTGCTTAATGTTGAAAAAGAAAAATTTGAAAACTTCAACTTCCTTACTTTTCAATTTTTGTTTTTATAGCAACGCATACAAAAAAGATTCATATCTCAGCAATATTGCTTTTGAATTAAGTATAGAATTAAAGGACGTTTCGTTAGTGTTAAGTGGGATTACGTTATAATTAATGGTTTAGTTTGGGCAGTTAAGGGTTTATCATACAAGTTTATTGCCAGTTATCGCTTTTTTTGCGAGTTGTCGTAATTGCTAACTTATACAAGCTGTTTGTTGTTGCGAGTTAGTCGTGGTGTTGCGGTCTGTTATACTTACTTATAGCTATAAACTGGTGGTGTTCTAGCAATCTGATGCCCAGTGTGCCGCCGGACGACAAGGGACTGCATGAAGTGGACGACCTGCTCTCTACCCCCAATCCACTGGCCCCCCTCTCTGCTCGGAGGAGTGAGTGGCCCAGCAGCAACAATGCTGCAAATGGGGGAGAAGAGGCCCCCATGCACACTAGTAATGCATGTCACTCCCAACAACCAGGTCTGTTCTCGGCAATTTTTGCTGAATAACTCAAATTTTCTCAAGGGATGTCTTCTTGTAGTTCTAATGAAGTGTTTTTCTAATAACTAAAGAGCTGATTGTGCTAATCGAGGTTGAATTCAGCTTCACAAGTCGATTTTAATTGGTACATAGCCAATTGAATAAAATCGCCTTCTCATTCACAAGTTTCGCTAGATTATTGTATAGCGACGTAATGTTGGATAAGCAGCAACCAAACCTCATGTCATCCCTTGAAATAATCGAGGAAAATTTTTCCAGTAAAATTTGTCTTTGTAGTTTGAATTTTGATTTTTTTTAAAGTTCTTTACACAGTGAGAGTAAGTGTACTGTTGAAATCGGGAACTAGACTTTTTCCTGCCAATAACTTCAAATCTATAAACCTAATTCGCAATTTAAACACTTCATTATTACAATTGTTCTTTTATTTGGTGACACTTTTGGTATTATCATGATCTGTTGCTTTGGAATTTTCCTAGCATCTATTCTCTGCTTTATTTGTGGCTAGTGTTTGTGATTTGTCAAGCTTCCGTGGCTGAGTGGTTAGTGCGTGAGTTTCATAATCTCTAGTTCGCAGAACGAATCCCAGACGCAGCCGAATTTTTACTAATTCGAGGCTTATTTGTACTTTTTCTTATTGCACTCAATAAGGCTACTTTTTGTCGTGTTATCGCTAGTGTTTGCGAAGCGAAGCTTCGTTTTTGTTTTTGTGTACAAGCCTACGCGCTCGCTTTATTTGCTTGAAATTAGACGAAAAATCAGAAAGTTCAAACCGGTTTTCTGGACATTTGGAAAATTTAAGGAAATTATTTGAATGTCGTTCGAATCTTATTTGAAAGGGCTTAAATATGATATATTACTCGACCTATTCTGATGATTTTTGTCATACCTGATTTTGCGTAGGAAACAAAAAGAAAAAAGACTTAGCCGCACCCGAATACAAAATTCCTCTCCATTTTTGAATGAACATTGTTTAAAAAAATTTTCATTTTTATTCGGGTTTGTGGTATGTTTGAACTAGTTTTATTATTGAAATTCGACAATTTGCAGGCCTATTCACACTTGGCACAGAGGTTGACTTTGCACCCAAAGGTTTGGAATTTGAAAAACGGTCGGAACTCTTGTCTTTCAGTACATGAAATTGAATTATGTTCAAATTGAATAGTCGGTTTTTCGCCTTGTCTGCTTATTTTCCAAAAAGCGTGGAGTTTTTCTGATTGTAACTATTCTTACTATTATTGGTAATCATCCTGTTATTTCGTCTATTAATTACTGTACCTACTGAAGGAAAGCAAACTCCCCTATCGAATGTGTAAAGGTCAAGAAAACGGAACTTAGTTATCGGATTTCCCAGATTTTACATTTTGCTTTTATCCTATTTCCCCCGCTTATAAGGTAATGTATAAAGGTTGTTATAAATTTTTGATTTTTTTTTTGGTAGACCATCATTCGATAACTTGGCGAACATGTGCCCTAAGCCATTTTTTTTCAAACTCGGCTGTGAATGTCTGTCAATAATATTTTCTATTTGCCTCAGTTTTGTAATAGCTGAACAGGATGGGTGTTTGCAGGAGAGGGAGCAGAGGGTGGGTGTGGGGGAGTGTTGGAGGGCGAAGGGGAGCTGTGTGGTCTGTTTGTGAGAAGTCTCTTCCCCTGTCTGTACCACATGTACTCATCATCTGCAGCAGCCAAACAGGTCTGTCCACTTCTACCTAACTGCCTAAACACTATCCACATGTTTAGTTTCCACCAATGTGTCTCTTGCCGTTGTCAAGTCAGCTTCTCAATCATGTCTGAAATCGAAATTAGATTTGACTCTGAATGTTTTGATCTGTGAAAACACTTTGATTCTCAACTCTGAAACCAAATAGTGGAAACCTAAGAATTGACAAAAATATATACCAATTTTTAGTTTTTGTTAACCGTTGATTATGAAATATTCCCATACCGTATATGAAATAACACGTTTTGAGCATAGTTGAAATCGTTTGATCGAATTGAAATAGCCAGTCTTAAACTCTTATGGTTTAGTGCAATTGAAAAATATTGTTCCGATCAGCTAAATTTGGACAAACCAAGTCAAAGAAACCTAGATATGATTTTGCTTTTTTCTTTTTTTAAGTGACCTAATTACGTTCCTCGTGTGTTTGCCATGTATATCTCAATGCATTGCACAAGTATCAGTGTGGAGTTGTGTGATCAGGTGAAGCACAGAGTGTTGCAGTCGATCAGACGCATGCTGCACCTGTCCAGTGCGCCCCTGCTGGCAGATGTGCTGCGTGGCTACTCCCTCTCCAGCGACATGGCCCGCATGTTGTCGTCTGAGGACTTGCACGTCGCTGCATCCGCTGTCCAGATGAGTTTCCTCCTGTTGCACAAGCTACCCGCCATCTTCTCTGTCTGCTTCCGCAGAGAGGGCTTGTTGCACGAGATGGAGAAGCTGACTCATCTAGAAGTGAACATGGAGCTGGCACAGCACACACACTCCACCAGCACTTCCAGGCCAGATGCGTTCAAGCTGTGTGAGCCAAGGATGTTGCCAGGATTGCTGGAACTGACCAGGAACAGACATTCCATGTTCGATGTGGACTCCTCTTCTTCCCCATCGCCGGGAGATCTGGAGTGGGGAGAGGAAGAGCATCCTGTCAGTCACTTGCACATGGCCTACAAGTCACTACAGGCCAGTGCCGCATCAGGCTCAAGAGGGGCGCCAGATAGGAACGAGCAAATGCTCTCCTCTTTGCTAGGTAAATAACTAGAATTAGAAACACCGCTCTTCCCCCCCCCTACCACCTCACATAAGCATCAATTTTATGCTGTAACGAGTGGTTTTACAAGGTTAAGTATGAAGACCAAATATGTTTGTCATTGCTTAATTTGTCCGCATGTCAATTTTTGTAACAATCTGTCAATTTGATCAAAATTTTACTAGTAAAATTTCGCTCGTGGGGGAATGGAAAAAAGAGCCAGGAAATACAACCAAGTTCTTGCACAACCAAGTGTATGATGATGATGGTGGTTATCTCATGTTTAAACCAGGTGTACTTCCTGTCGGAAGCCAGTTCTCCTCGGATGCCCCCTCGGGGGAGAGTGGGAGCAGCCGCATGAGCAATCTGTACAATAGTATCGTGGCCGCCAGAAAAGACTATCCAGTCCAATCCAGTAAAAAGAAGAAGCCACCTTCCATGCCCACCACTGCAGCCCCACTTTCCAGTAAGAGGTCCAGGAGAACCAAGTCAGAGAGTGCGCCGCATGCACAGGAAGGCGTTCCTGTTGCTACTGTGCCCCCCACCAGATCAGAGCAGACGAACCAGACGCCCTCTCTGCACACCCTCCTCTCCAGATCCTTCTTCCCCAATCCCTTCCGAACCAACAGTCAAATCAGTGACACCAGTTTAAATGTCCACACTACACCGGCCACATTGGATCCGGTCGATCCATTTTTGGCTGGCACAGTACAAAACTCAGTCAAACCGAACTCAAGACAAACCTCAACAACTCACAGCTCTAAAGGTTCCGCCTCAGGAGGAGGTGCGGCCAGCTTTTTCTCTAATCTGAAGCCCATGAAGTGGCACATGAACTCCAAGTCAAAGAGCACGCTTCAACTGGACAAGATGCCCCCTGGCACAAATGGGACTGCAGCTGTCCCAATGTCCGCAGGAGTGCCAGTTGGGTTAGCAAATGGGAGGCTCCACAGCCCTCCGGAATTCTTCTCCAGTCACTCTGTTCCAACTCCGGCCTTACTGGCTGGTTGGGAGGCAGTGACGGAGGAAAAGATCAAACTCTGGCTGAAACAGAAGGCATCTCTCTTTCTGCACACTTATTCCAAGAACCTGTCGGACTTGGCTGCTGCAGCAGATACTTTGGACATCCGCAGTGTCGACTTGGACCATTTGGCACAACTCCAAGTCGCCAGTCACAGTCTCGACATCACAAAAGTATGTCATGTTGCATTTAGAAAAAAAAACTTTTCTTTTTATTCAGCGGTCAATTATATTTGTGCCCCTTTGTCTTAGTTACGATGTAATCTCTAGCTTAATCAGGTCGTGTGATCTTTTGTTTGTTTGCAATTATTCGTTTGCTAAATTAAATGTGACTTACCCATTCTAAGAATAAAAGTGAAATTGGCGCGAAACAATGTCAGCGAATTATTGTTTCAAAAGTGAATTTCAATTTTTAGATGTAGAAGGGATTCGAACCTCTGGCCATCCAAACATCTATTTTTTTTGCTACTATTTGAGGGGGAGTGCGCGCCGACAAAACGCGGTTTTTTTTGTCTAAATTTTCCAAAAATGGCCCAAAAAGTCTTTTTGACCTAATTATCGAACATTTACCTGCAGAGTTAAAAACTTGGGTCTATCTAGTGATTGGGCAGAGCTCTAAAAACCGAGCAGCCATAGCCGATTGGGTCAGATGCGCGGCCTTTAAAACAAAGATTGCGAGTTCGAATCCCGCGCTCCGGTTACAGTTAGAGAGATTCCATCCGCCTACTCAAGGTGGGACGGGCTTCGGCAAAATGGATGACATCTCTCTGCCCCCATGGAAAAAGGCCCAAGGTCGAAAAAATCCAGTAATTCTGTTTGCAAAAATGCAAAATATAAATGATTTTTTAAATTCAAAGAGTGTTTTAAAACTTGTCTGAAAATATCTCAAGAAATTTGTTATTAAGAGTCATAAAGAGAGTGCATACTCTTATATAGGTATTGGTAATTTTATTGTTTGTTTTTTTTCAGCAAAAAGTCTTAAAATTTGTTAACGCTGAATTTTGATTTTTCGCTCTTTGACTTTCGATTTTATTTTAAGTTCAGTTCAGTTCATTTCCTGTGTTAAAGGGAAGGCAAACTCCACTATCGAACAGCAAAAGTTCAAAAAACACGAAAAACGTTTCGAAGTTCGAGAGTTCTAGTTTCGAAAGTGGATATAAATTTCCAGCGGAATAAAGTTTTTACTTATTGATGCAGTGTTTCTCAAACTGAGATGATTTTTAGCAAAAAGTGTCAATTATAAAAGGGTATTGGAATCGGGTATTAGACTTTTTCCCGTAGTTAACATTGTTTACAGGACTCCCTTAAAGCCTGGTATCTCTCATATGCTTCATTTAAAAAAAATGCAGATTTAATCAAACGTTCCGGCGTATCTGGCGTAGAGGTAACATATCTGCTTGAGACAGTGAAGGCCTGTGATTCGAATCCGGCCCTGACCTGTTTTTTTTGTAAACTTGAATTTTTGTGTTTTTTCGGTCTATCGTCCGTCTGTTTATTTTTGTCGCTTAGTTCTCGTAGCCCAATTTTTTTTTGAAGTTTAAGCTTTCTTCTAAGATGTTGTTACACCCATGCTTGACGACAAAGCCCGGCAGTTTGATTCCCGTCGGGACTTTTTTTTTAAACTGAAAGTTTGTTGCTGAATTTTACCGACTTAGTTCCCGCAGAAAGGATTTTTTTTCGGAAGTTCGGCATCTTTCTAGCATTTCAAAGCTCCTTGTTAAGTTTTTTTATGGTGCAGGTAGTTTTTAGGAGCTGGGCTGGGTTTTTTTTAAAGAATTTTAATGACAATTCGATTTTTATCTAAGTCGCAATTAAATTTGCTCATTTGGTGGCATTTTTGATATATTTTATTTTAATCATATATAAGTCTATTGAAGAATAACAATTTAATAGCACATGTTTTTGCTTTGTTTTGGATAGTGTTAGGTCCTCTTTGAAAAAACATGCTATATGAAAATTTATGGGGTTTGTTTTTTGGTGTTTTTTTGCGATGCTTTGGAAAATGTTTTCACTTTTCGCTGAAGTTTCAGTTTTTCTCAGAAACTAATGGACCGTTTTTTTTAATGATGCCAATGGACAAACCGGCTGCTTGCATATTTTTCTAGTCGTTTTTGTTTATCCCACGTTTTATGGCCTTCGAAATTTTCAGTAGGGGGAATTTTCTTTCAATCAAAAGAACAAATCACGGGGATCTCATTTTCTCAAGCGGTTATTCCCTAAACTCGATGGAATTAAAGTTATGGCCTCAAACAAGCCCCTTTTTTGACATTTCGTTAATTTTTAAAATTTTTCTCAAAAACTACCCTACCAAATCGGAGATTAAGGGTTCAACCCAAAGCTAAAAACCAGTTATGTGAGTGTTTGCGCAAGCGGCTATGCCCTGCGTTTTGAAAAAAATATGGCCTAAGAAAATGTCCAATTTTTGAAATTTTGCCCGTTTTTTGGCAACTTTTCTTCAAAAACTAGCCCGCTGATTCTGAAGTTGTTAGTTCATTCAAATAAAATGATGCTTAGATTTTCCCTGCGTAATCTGTTGCACCCTATATTGTTTTGTAGAAAACCGATATGGACTGCGGGATTCTCGAGAACTACTTGCTAAATCTGATATTAAGAATTCAATCTAAAATTTTGGGCGTGGAATTTTACCCGACAAGAGGCTATTGCCAAGCTTAAGTAGTCTTTCGCGTAAAGTCCATTTTTTTTAGTTATAGAAATTTCCGTATCAGTACAGTATATGATTGAAAAGATTAAAAAAAGGTACATCCAGCCTTAGCTGGGCCACTATTTTACTTCCGAGTGACCGTGAGTGACACTCCTAATCATCAGGTCGGAGATTCAAATCTGCAACATTGAACTGTTTTTTTTGCTCGAACTTTTACTGCTTCATTGGTGGCTAGTGTTAGTAAAATTAAAATCGGCCGTGGGGCAGAAGTGAGAACGTGCTATTTTTTGTCAGGGTGGATTTTTTTTTATTTCACTTTCTTTTGCCTGTCTAGAGTTTCTTGCATTTTCCTCGTTTGTGTTTGCGAAGCGCAGCTTCGCCTCTGTATTGGTTTTTCTTTTAATTTGCTTTTATCACGGTTGTTTATTTTTGTATCAAAAGTCAGATAATATAGCTTAAGAGTTCCAGATAATATTTTATCTGAAATTCGCAAGTTTAAGTTTTACAAAAATTAAGTCAATCTTTTTTCATCAATTGTCTGTCGAATGTTTGAATTCTGTAACACTATTTACACATGCAAAGCTTGTGTTATTGTATGAACTTTTTTTTCAACCTAAGACGCAATTTTTGTTGCGAAGCAAATTTTGTTGAAACAAAATGTGTACATTTTGAAAGTGTTCATTTTGATCAGTAACCAGCTATTAAATACAGCCAATGCTAAGGATGTTAACACAGACTATTTTATTACAAATAGCACTCTAGCTCCAAGGTATTATGGATGTGTAGCGTAGAGGTAAAGAAGAAGACCTGCAACAAAAAAAAAGGGGGTTCGAACCTGGGCAGGGTCGGATGTTTGTAATGATCTTTTTCGTATACTAGTTAAAAAGCGTCCGCTCTATAAATTGAGGCATGTTAGTTGGTAACTTTCTTTTTTTTTTCAGACTCACTGGTACTGCCAATGCGTCATAGTTGGTTTGCGTCTCTTAGCAATTATGTAGGCTCATAGTTGGCGTGCGTCACTGAATAATTTTTGTAGACTCAAAGTTTACTCATTCGGTTTTTCCCAGTTGCGTTATTGGTCTTATTTTTGCTTGCATAAGCGAAGTGCATTTTACGGTTGGCTCTTTTCTTCATTTGTTTAACTTCATTCTATGTTATTCATTTTTGGTCCGATATGCCGAAAAAATTAAATGACCAGTACTTTTTACACATGCGGAGGGTGCTGGGATTTTTTTCGAAACAAGTTTTTTACGGTTGGCTCTTTTCGTCATTTGTTTAACTTCATTCTATGTTATTCATTTTTGGTCCGATATGCCGAAAAAATAAAATGACCAGTACTTTTTACACAGCGGAGATTACTGGGATTTTTCGAAACAAGTTTTTTTCCCAACCAAAGTCGGAAATAAACATGCTACTTTTGGCGGGTGTTGAATCCATGAGTGACAATACCATGAGGATAATACCATGTGATCTGAAATTTGATTAGTAGCTAATTAACATAGTATAATCATGAAAATTCTATCTCAGAAATTTTCAAACTCGCTAATTATAACCAAAATTTCGAATGCATAACGCAAATTGGCTTTATATTTCATTTGTTTTTTTTTATGCAAAGTCAATTATCTTGCCATTAGTGAACGTGTTCCAAATTTTGTGCGTTCTAAAACTCCAGAACATTTTGCCGCTTTCTCTTGCTGGTGTTTGTGAAGTTGTAGCCTTTGTTGCCTTTGTTTTGATAATTAGTTGGACTTTGAACTCTTCCGGTTAATTGTTGAATTGTTGAGACCATTAAAATGGGGAGGAACTTTATATTCGGGTGTGTTTTTGTTTTCGACGCACAATCAAGTACCAAAAATAAACATCGCAAAAGGTCGAGTGAGATATCATATTAACGTCCTTTAATCGTGATTCGAACGACATTTAAAAGTTTGGAAAAATTGTCCCGGTGTCAAGAAAATTGTGCCGGTGTTTTGTGTTTTAGTTTATAATCGAGTGGATAATGCAGGCGAGCAGGCCTATTATAGAAGTATATGCCATGAATTATCGGTTTTTTCCGCGCTGTTTTCGGAAAAAAAATTCGAAAACAATTTCTGCAAAAAAATCTGTTTTTTTTTTGTCATTTTGACAAAAATCGTTGTCTGATCTGCCTAATTTATTATGACTGTGAAATATCCCTAACTTATTGGTTTTCGTCAAATCTTCTCATCACACAACTCACAAATAAAAACAACACTAATTTAAAAATTTGAAAAAAGTCTTTTTTTTTCTAAAGATTATAGTCGGAACATTATGTGCTACTTGCTGAGCAGCAACCCGTTTTCCTCGTTTTTTGTCGGGTGTGGTTAAATCCAGAATATTTTTTGATTGATATTTTTGTTGATAAAGTCAGCTGAATTTGAGAAAACTGGATCACAGGGTAAATTTTTTTCCACTGAATTATAGTGCATAAGTTATACTGATGTTTAAAAAGTTTTAAAGCCATTGTTTTTTTTCAAATTCTGAGAAAATTGAATTTGAGAAAACTTGATCACTGGGTATTTTTTTCCGCTGCTGTATAAGTCATAATTTTAACTGTTATTAAAAGAGCTTAAAAGCCATTAATTTTCCGAATTCTGCTTTTTGTTTGAAGAAAAACAAGGTAATCATTTTCCTTGTATTCCTTGACACTTCTCCAACTGTTAGCTATGTCTTCAAAGGCCAACGAATCGCTGCTTTTAATAGAGTGCTATACTGATGAAGTTTTTAATCGTCTTCGTCTTTTTTGCGGAATTTGTACTCATCATATTTTTTGGCTGACTTTTTTTGATTTTTTTTTTCAATTTACAAGAGTCAGGGAATGTAGTGAAGATTTCTATATAGGTCGTAATGGTTGTTTGTTGTTCCGGAAAAAATTTTAAAGTTTGTTCACAATCTCAAAATTTTTGTCTCAAATATGAATTTTCACAGTTTTTATTGTAATTTCTATTTAGGTTCAGTTCAGTTTGTTATAAAGAAGAACATTTCCACTGTCGAACAGCAGAAGGCACAACTTAAGAAAAATATGATCGACTTGTTTCGAAGTGGATTTATGGTAGCAAATTTTGCAGCGGAATAAAAACCTTACATATTGAGCCAGTTTTCTCAAATTGGGTCAATTTTAGCAGAAAATTATTTCTTTTTTTTCGTGAAATCAAAGAGCTTAAAGGCTATTTAGTTTTGTCTTTACAATTTGGAAGTTGAGTTTTTTGTCTGTTTCCTTGAGTTCATTGACTCTTTTCCAACTCCCGTGGCTTTTCTTTTGTTTCATCTGATCACTTTCGGCCCAGTCGCAGGAAAGCTTTTCAAGCGATTAGCAAGCGTTATGAAATCGGAATATAGACTTTTCAGTCTAAAAACCAGTTCCAAAAAATCAGTCAACTTCAGGCAAAATTAATCGAATGATTGTTGACTTAAGCTCTGTCGGTTTATTTTCGAAATTCTGAAGTTTGCACAAGCCATTTATATAGCTATCGTGTGGGCGTTACATGCAATTTTTTCCAATATGATTAAAAAAATTTTTAGCTAATCGGCCGTCGATCTTACCGATTTTTTTCTTTTAAATGTCTAGCAGTACTTTTATCGATAAAGCTCCGTCTCCAAGTTTTGAATGACCTTACTCAACCCCACTAGGACCTCTTGGAAAAATTTGATACATTTTAACTCCAAAGAATTTAACTCATCTTATAATTGTTGTATCGCAAGTGGTGCAAAGCTCAGCTTCGCCTGTGTTAAAAATTTGTGCCTGAATTAATTGTGATTGTGAAGGTTTGTGAGCTTGTTTTAATTTTTTTTCATGGTTAATTTATTAATGTTTAGAAGTTTGGAAAGTGCTATAGTGATAGCTTTAATCAGTGTTTTTTGTGCCTGACGTATTACAAGTTGGTCCTAATCCGGTCCTATGTAAAAGTTTCTTTAAAAGGTTCTGAAATGGGTAACTTCAGTGGAGTTCCGCCAGTCACTTTTTCACAAGACAGAAATATGATTTATTGCAGAAGCGTTTTGCAGAACCAATCGAAACGCTAATGCCCATTAAACGAAAATACATTTTAGCTTAAAGGCTATTTAGTTTTGTCTTTACTTTTTCCCAAGACTTTTATCGATAAAGCTCCGTCTCCAAGTTTTGAATGACCTTACTCAACCCCACTAGGACCTCTTGGAAAAATTTGATACATTTTAACTCCAAAGAATTTAACTCATCTTATAATTGTTGTATCGGAAGTGGTGTAAAGCTCAGCTTCGCCTGTGTTAAAAATTTGTGCCTGAATTAATTGTGATTATGAAGGTTTGTGAGTTTGTTTTGATTTTTTTTCATGGTTAATTTATTAATGTTTAGAAGTTTGGAAAGTGCTATAGTGATAGCTTTAATCAGTGTTTTTTGTGCCTGACGTATTACAAGTTGGTCCTAATCCGGTCCTATGTAAAAGTTTCTTTAAAAGGTTCTGAAATGGGTAACTTCAGTGGAGTTCCGCCAGTCACTTTTTCACAAGACAGAAATATGATTTATTGCCGAAGCGTTTTGCAGAACCAATCGAAACGCTAATGCCCATTAAACGAAAATACATTTTAGCTTAAAGGCTATTTAGTTTTGTCTTTACTTTTTCACAAGACTTTTATCGATAAAGCTCCGTCTCCAAGTTTTGAATGACCTTACTCAACCCCACTAGGACCTCTTGGAAAAATTTGATACATTTTAACTCCAAAGAATTTAACTCATCTTATAATTGTTGTATCGGAAGTGGTGCAAAGCTCAGCTTCGCCTGTGTTAAAAATTTGTGCCTGAATTAATTGTGATTGTGAAGGTTTGTGAGTTTGTTTTAATTTTTTTTCATGGTTAATTTATTGATGTTTAGAAGTTTGGAAAATGCTATAGTGATAGCTTTAATCAGTGTTTTTTGTGCCTGAAGTATTACAAGTTGGTCCTAATCCGGTCCTATGTAAAAGTTTCTTTAAAAGGTTCTGAAATGGGTAACTTCAGTGGAGTTCCGCCAGTCACTTTTTCACAAGACAGAAATATGATTTATTGCAGAAGCGTTTTGCAGAACCAATCGAAACGCTAATGCCCATTAAACGAAAATACATTTTAGCTTAATGTTTGTACTTTTTGTGCGCAATTTAATCGTCATCCTTGATCTAATCTCCTCTATCATTACTATTCCTTTACCCACTAACAGCTATAACTAATATGTTATGCTGCTATGTTTATGCTTCTCAAAACTAGCCCTTCAAATCTGAGATTTTGGGCTCAATGAGTAGAACGGGTTGTGGAAAGCTTTCATACGCGGCTACGCCCATTTTTCACACAATGAGTTATGACCCTCGGAAAATTCAAAATTCTGCTGTATTTTTGACAGTTTTTATTGCAGTTTTTTGAATTGTCTGGAAAGTTACCATGCCAAATCTGAGATTTTGGGTTCAATTAAACGAGATAGGGTTGAGGGAAGCTCCACTGTGTAAGCTGTGTAAACGTTCGCGTACAATTTTTCTAACCCAAGAATTTATGGCCATCAGAAATTTGTCCGTTTTTTGAAAGTTTTTGACTTCTCGAAAACAACTCAAATCTGATATCTAGGATTTAATCGAGGCAACAAGTTGTGGAAAGCCTTCAAATTTCTTCAAAAAATTTTGGTTCTGGGAAAGTTTCAAAGTCACAAAAATTTCACTCATATTTTAATAGAGCAATAACTTGGTTTTGGGTGAAGCCCAAGTCCTATTTTTTTCAAATTACATATTTCCTTCCGCATCAGAACAATAAATTCAAAGTTTATCAAACAGTTACCGCCAGCTTTAGCTGGAACTCTAGCCTTCCGATGGAAATTGGCTGAGTTCATAAATAGAAACAAACCCACGATGAGAAAAAAAGTCTGTTCTCTTTGGTTTTGAGAGTAAAGAATTTTGACTTTTTTCATTGAATGAAAACTTGGTAAGAGCGTTAGAATCAGAATCCCATCTAGTTTTCAACCTATTGTAATTTAAATATCGCATATAGGTCTGATATTCGGTTTGTTAGGAGTAATGAATGTACTGAATACTCTTATATAGGTCTTGGTGATTTTTTTAGAGGAAAAAGTCTTTAAATGCTCTAATCTTTACATATGTACATTCATACATATTGATGCATTTATGAGTGCACTTAGGTATATATGCACGTTTTGAGCTCAATTGAAATTCATCTGCTGAAAGTGACGTAAATTGCACTCTCCAAATACCAACGTGAAAATGGCGCGAAAAAACGTGAACGATTTTTAGTTTCGAAAGTGGACTTTTATTTTCAGATTTCCAGCGGAATAAAAACTTTACCTACTGATCCAGTTTTCTTTAGTTGGGTTCATGTTATCAAAAAAGTGCCAATCATAAATTGTTCTAGAAATCCAAAGAACTTAAAGGGCATCTATTTTTTTTCTTTGAAATTCGAAAGTTGGCTATGTTTTCCACTAGCGATCAGCGTAGTGTATTAGTACGAACCTTCTTTTTTCCTAAATTTACTCGCAAATAAAAGTGTTCATTGAAAGTGGAAAATGTGCACTTAACGACAAAATGAAAAGCATAAAAATTTGACCTTTATATGCCCGATGCTTTAATTGTCTCAACTCATACTATGAACATCTTGAAGTTCATATTCATGTTTGCTGATGTTATTACAATACAGCAATCCGAAAAAATATTTACCTAAATTTTTAAAGTGATCTTTAAAAAGAAAAAAAATAAAATGAACCAAAACGTTTAATTGTGTCTAAAACATGCCAGTAGGAAACTTTTTTACGAACTTTCGGTAAAGAAATTTTGAATATTTAGGCGTATGCACAGGTATCCATTGCTGAACGAACACATTTTTCATATCGAAAGCATAGGTGCGTCTGAATTAAAGTTCGATTTGTAATATGTCAACTGAATTTTCCAAACAATCTAGCTTAAGAGAAACAGTATCACAGTGCTCCATAGTCTAAAGGCGTTGCTGCATTCATTTTCGTACCCATAAGTATGCTGTATAGCGCTCTTCTGAAGCTATTTGTTGCTAAAGTAATTTTGTTTTCTGTGGCTTCTTTTTAGTCATTTCGTTTGTTCAGTTCTGTCTACTTGCTGTAGCGTAAGACTAATGTGGTTTGTTTCTTTGTTTCATTCAGATGACAGGCGACATCAAATTGAGTGAGCAGCGAATGCAGACGATGCAGCTGCGTGGCTTCGTGGTAGCTCTGCGAGGAGTGTGTGATTTGCTGGGCTTGGGGGGCCAGCGAGAGACAGCAGCAGGGGGAGGAGGAGGGGGAGGGGGGGCTTCTCCTTTCGAAGTGGCCCAGAGTGGACTGGTGGCCCATAGTCTGCTCCCCTTCCTCACCCTCCACTCCCCCTCCCCACACCTGGTGGTGGAGAGGACTCGCAGGCTGCACGCATTCTGCCACGTATTCCTCAACTGTCCCGTGAGTATCTTAAACTGCCACCTTTCTCATGATTGCATCATCATTGTAAAGAAGTCCTGACTGGGCTTTTTAACACTCTTATTCAGTCGTTTTTTTAAAGAGCCTGAAACGTTTTCATTTTGATTACCGAAGTTGAGCTTTATTCCGCTGACTGCGCAAAAAGAGCAATTGCACTTTCTGTTTGAGAATTGGTTTGAGAATTCTATTTTTCTATACTCTTTTTTGTTCTTTCTTTCCTTATTGTTCCGACGATTGAAAATGGGGAGGAACTTTGTATTCGGGTGTGTTTTAGATTTTTTCCACGAAAATCAGGTACCAAAAAAATAATCATCAGAGTAGGTAAAGGAAAGAAAGAAAGCAGTTATTTCTCCTGATGAAAAAAAATTGAGTCAAATTATACATTCTGTTGCAAAATCTGGAGAGGACCGAAAAGGGATCATGGGATCCACCAAGCTTCTGCCCCTATACTGCAAGTAAATGTGGTTTTTATAGCAATAAATTAAATTAACAAATATCAACAAAAAATGTTTATTTCTTCTGAATGAATTTCTAACAAGTTTAATTTAACCAATTGACAAGCAGATACAAAAACTAATTATCAATCATTTTCATGACCACACTACACTGATCAGCTGCCACAATAATTTCATTCAACAAAATTTTAAAAAGTGTTTGTTTTTGATCCAAACACTCAATCATCCAAACACTCAATAAATCACGCATTAAATTTAAATTTAAAAAACACGCAGAAGACAAAACAAATTACAGGTTCACTCTCTTTTGACCATTTGAGGTAAATGAACTACATTGTATTGAGATAAAAACATTCTGAATTTCTTTTTTCTTATTCAAGTTTTTTATTATGTGATTTACTGAAGGAAACTCTTTTTCGAGATATCGTGATTTACTGTTTTCGAGATATCTAATGTTTTCGAGAAAAATTTTCTGTTTTCGAGATATCGCGATTGTCAGATAATTTTGAATTTTTTCTCGCTAATTTTGACAATCTTTCTGTTTCTAAATTTTGTTCTCCTAAAGTGAGAACGCAAGTCAGTAACTTGGCGGATTGTTCTATTAAGTTGTCCTTTCGAAGCCTCAGAATTTTATACTTTGAGGTCTAAGAAAAGATATGCAAAAAATTTTTTTTTCTCTCAGTATTAGCTAACTTCGCTAAATAGGTAGTGAAATTTGTTGCTTCGATAATGTCGTTTTTTCCTTTTATCTCAGAATTCTGATTTAAGACGATTGAAATTTCTTGAAAAAAAAACTCTTTTAAGAGTTTTTTTTAATTTTTTTTTAAATATTCAACGTATAGGGGCAGACATTTGTGGATCGGAAGATCCCGTTGTCTGTGGTCTTCTCCAAGTCTCGGAAGTTGTTTATATTTATATCTTTTTTGCCATATCTCGAAAATCATAAGGTTTTGGGGCTCATTTTAACACAAGAATCCTGACTCCTAGAGAATGTTTATAACCCAAAAAATCAAGTGATAAACCAATTCGAGTGATATATCATATATCGTGATTCGAACAATATTGTAAAAAACTTCATAAAATTGTCCCAGGTTCGAGAAAACTGCTTTGAAATTTTTGAGATTTAGTCGAAAGTAACGCTTGTTATATGGAAATTTACTTTTAATTAAACTTTTAGGATAAAAAACTTGATTTTACTTGAGAAAACTGGAGGAATAGTGGTAAGGCGTTCACTTTGAGATTGTCAGATTGTGTAATCTATCCCCTACCATGGTGATTATAGTGTGTGAGGATGAGCTGTTACTTAATTTCTAGCTTTAGGTCTACCACAGCCTGACCAATTCGGCCGCAATAGTGGTTTCACATGAACGTTTCAGGCTGGCTCTAAAAAACGGGCTTGCGTCGAAAAAAAGAGTTTTGCCCATTAATTTAATTTGGTCTGGAAGGTGGGGAAATAACACAAATGTTCTATGCTTAGACAGGCCAAATAGCCTTTCATAGATTGTCTGCGAATCGCAGAATCCTTATTTAAAACTACTGTTGGAGGATGTTTCATTTTTAGTTGTCGAGAGCTGTCGTTGGTTTGCGTATTTTATCCTCTAATTTTACTACTGGTTTTTCTACTGAATTAAGCAGTTTTTGCTATATTTGAATGTCATTTTGATTTGATGATTTTCTATTTGTATGTCATTTTTGGTTTACTCCTTTATGTATAACTGTTCGTCACAGAAACTATTGAACGTCTCGGTATATCAGAAACAATGAATTTATCTGATCATAAAATTTTGAGAAATAATCCATTTTTTCAGGAATGAATCCGTCGCCTGTTTCTAAGTATCCACACACATTAAGGTGGTGTGGTTTTTGTTTGCATGAAACAGCTTTAAAATTTAATCACCCCTAAATCGACTTTAGCTGTTTTCACTTGCGAGAGCAAGTGTCTTGTAATCAGGAACTAGACTTTTTTCCACAACTAACTCTACTTTCAAATTCTGCTGACCTGCTCAAAAGCTGTCATTTTAATTTCTTGAAAGTTTGAGTAAACATGTCTGTTAGTTCATTTGAGTTACAATTTTTTTCCTAATATATTTGTTTTCGGATTTGTTCTAGTTTCTGTCGACCGATTTTACATTTGTTTCAAATGCAATTTTTACTAGCGGGTACGCGTTTCAAGCAGTTTGTGTATTTACTAATATATTGCTAAAAGGAAGGCAAATTGCTCTCCCCAGAGTCTGAATGAAGTACAAACCAGATTATTTTCGAAAAAAATGTTCTTCGCTTCATCAGTGGCTAGTGTGTTTAAGAGTAATGAACGTAGCGAAGACTCTTATATAAAACTTGCTGATTTTTTTTCAGGAGAAAGTTATAAAATTTGTTCACGCTCAATTTTGATTTTTCGTGGTTTGACTTGTGATTTCTTTTTAGTTCAGTTCATTTCTATTGTTAAAAGGAAGGCAAACTCCACTATCGAACAGTCCAACTGTAAAGGTCACGAAAAACGTGATCGACTTCTAATTTTGAAAATGGAAATTAATTATCAGATTTACCAGCGAAATAAAAGTTTTACTTATTGATCCAGTTTTCTCAAATTGGGTTATTTTTTCAAAAAAAGTGCCCATCATACATTTCTCTACTAATTCAAAGAGCTTTAAGCCCATCTAATTTTTTATTCGAAATTCAAAATTTGAGGATTTTTGAAAAAAAAACAAGTTCATTACTCCTTGCGTTCATTACTCTCTTCCAACTGTCTGTTGACTATGTCTGTCAGTTGGCTGTATTCGTCAGTGGTTCGATTCTCGCAGAGGGGCATTAATTTTTCATACCTCATTAACCTTGCGATAAGCAATGGTATTGTAATCGGGTACTGGAATGTTTCCCGTAATTAACTTTGTTCACAGAACTCATTCATCTCCTGGACTCATCTTCTGACATGCTCAGTTTCTGAAAATTCAAATTAAACTACTACCATTTAAGTAGTAATTAGTTGAAGCACGTTGCAGGTTGTAAATATCTTTTCAAAAAAGCATTTTTTCGGTTTCGTGTTTTTTCCCTATTTTTTGTCGGTTCATTTTCCTTTTTTTAAACGCCATTCTTTTATCTGGTAGGGTTTTTATTGGCTTACTTTCTAAAGCATGGATTTTGTTCCAAATTGAACAGTTTTTTTTGTAGCTAGAAGTTCACAAATTTGTGAATTTACCAAGTCTGATTTTGATTTTTTCAGTTTTTATTTTGGGTTTTCCAATTTAAGCAGTTTTTTTAATAACTGAAGTTCACAACTTTGTAAACTTACCTGGTCTGATTTGAGTTTTTTAATGTTTAAACTGTTTCAGTTTATGTTATATCGACTTCCTCAATTTGCTGTTTTTTGATGACAAAATATATCGGTGTACGATTGTGCTTCAGTTTGGACGGGTCGTAAAATTTTCAAAACTTTGAGTTTGTTTAAGACAATAGTTTTGTTTTCGGCTCATCAGGTTTGACCCAAAATTTGTCGCCATTGTTGACGCTCGGTAAAAGCGATTTTTTAAAGGCCATTTTTTAACCTTATCAGATACAAACATGAGATTTTATAGCTGTAATTTTTTTCAACTTTTTCCAAAGAATTTTCAAGTATTTTCAACTAAATTTTTCAGTTTTTTTGTTCGACTTCTGTCTGTTTTTTCTTTCACTATCTTGTATTCACTATCTTGTAGAGCAATATGTTTTTTTTACATCGAAACTGTTGCGAAGCTCTGCATCGTCTCTGCGTTAATATTGTTATTTTCTCGGCGGTTTTTTGCTTGTATTTGCGAAGGTTCTAGGATTTCGTTCAGATCCCTTCATTACACCACGAACAGAAAGCGACACAATTTGAAAAAAAGAACTGTTTTTTCTTTATTAATGTGGTCGGAATTTTCTGTGCTTATTGCATAGCAACCGGATATCCTTGTTTATGAATTCTCGCTTTGTCAGATTTCTTTTGTGAAAATAGGCTTTTCATAGAAGAAATACGTGAATTTGTGTTCAATTCAATCTACCAGTGTGGAAGGTTCGGCTTTTTAAATAATAGATCTTTCACTTTTTGAGGCAATTGAATGCAGTAGGTGACTAATTTATACAGGAGCCATGTCATTCCCTTGTGGACAACAGCAATTGCATGGACATGGGAACCCCACTGAGCTCCAGCAGATCAGCCGAGGGTCTCAATGGGCCACCCGCAGGGGACACGGGGATGTTGGAGGCTCTGGTTTGCAAGCTGATCCAGTGTCTACATCAGCTGGAACAGTTTCCGGTACGAGTGACAGACCTGCAGTCCATTGCAGGTCCAGACATGTATTACCCCATGGAGTCCATGTCTCTCTCTCACAGTCTAACCCACCCGTCGTCCTCCTCCTCCTCCTCATGGGCATCTGCAGGGGGCTCTGGTGGGGGTGGGGGTGGGTGTGCGGGGGCAATCAAGTTCTTTAACACACACCAGCTAAAGTGTGTGCTGGAACGACACCCGTGCTGTAAGAATGGTGCTAAGCAGTGGAAGGGCGGCCCAGTCAGAATAGACCCGCTGGCCCAGATTCATTCAGTGGAGAAGTTCCTGCTCGCCAAAGGTATATACACTATTCAAAATACAGCAGATAAACCAAAATGTACACCATACAAATCAAATGTCTTCAAACTTCACTCAGGAAGTTTTCAGACTTGAAAAAAAAACTACAAATTCATTTCCGCCAAATTGCGTATTAATTGCTCAATTAGCCTACCCGTGCGAAATTAGAGACCTTCACTAACCTAAGGGCGCCCTCTTTTGAGTTACTATTCGACGAAGCAGTTTGTCGTCTGTGAGTATTAAGTTAAAGAACCTAAAGAAAGAAACAAGCGTGGGTATGGCGTGGTTGCCTGATTGAAGAGACTGCATGGTCATGGCATCTTCCAACTACGAATTGATTTAAGTTGGATTGATTGGGTGACTGTGTAATATTGGTGTGATGTGTAGGAGTAGTAGGGGGAAAGGGGAGCGGCGGTGTGGGCATGGGTGAGCCTGAGCTTGACTCTGACGAGGACGGGAATGAAGTGCTGCTGGCCATGCTCACTGGGCATCACAGCAGCAGCAGCAGACACTCCTCCAACCCACAGCAGCATAGACTCAAACTAATCATAGGACAGACTGAGGTGAGTGAATGAATAAATGAATGATTGAGAGAGAGAGAAAGGCGGCCGCTCAAGGATTAATATTTGCTGCTATTTTAGCACATTCGTTTCTGGTCGACAGGCTCTAAAGTTTTTCTAAAGGCTGCAATACGTATATACTAATTTTGATAGGCTCTCCAATTACAAATGTGCAAAATGCACAAAGTTAGTGATTTTTTGTTTCGAAAGTGGGTGTTAATTGGGTTCACCAATGCAACAAAAAAAACTATTGGCCCAGTTTTCTCCATATAGATTAGTTTTACGAAAAAGGTATCGATCTTGATAAAACCTGGAAGGCGAAAGAGTTTAAACCTGAGAAACAAATCAATTTTAACATTTAGAGAAAATTACATCAAGCTTTCTTTTTAAGAGTCGATGAACGTTGTTTAGAATCTAATTTAGGTCGTGATGTTTTTTTTTTTCAGGAAAAAAAAGTTTTAAGTTTGTTCAAGCTCAATTTTGATTTTCGCGGTTTGACTTTTGATTTCTTTTAAAGTTCAATTCATTTTCTTTGTTGAAAGGAAGACAAACTCCACTTTTGAACGTCAAAATTGCAAAGGCCACGAAAAAGGTGATCGAATTCTAATTTCGAAAATGGATTCAAATTTCCAGCGGAATAAAAAATTTATATTTTGATGCAGTTTTCTCAAATTGGGTTAATTTATCAAAAAACTGTCAATCATAAGTTTTCTAGAAGTTCAAAGAGCTTTAAGGCCATCTGTTTTTCTCTTAAAAATTCCAAGTTTGATTTTTTTTGAAAAAATTGTAAATGTTTTTTTTTAGTTTCTTCGCGTTCATTGACTCTTTTCCAACTGTCAGTTGACTATGTTTAACTGTTGATGATATGCATCAGTTTGCAATTACTTTGTTCTTCCGCTTTTGGTCTCGCTGTTGCCTCGCCTGCCGTGGTCACTGGGTATATTAGTTTGTGTAGTCTTTTCCACCGATCTGACAGCCTCCTATACAATCAATCCATTTCCTGACAAAATTCTTTTCTTCGCTTCTTCGCCTTTTTTTCTCCTGTCCTCAAAAACATAAGATGCTATGGAAACTTAGTGTTTGCAGTGCGAATGATTGAATGAGCAGCTGTGTTTGTTTTTGACGATTGATGCGATGATTAGGTGCCATACGACTGGACAGTGTACCAGGCCATACACCAGCTAGGCCACAAACAACACATCAGCAGCAGTTCCACACAAATCAGCACCACTCACGACTTCTCCCTGTTCGGGATGGGGGATGGAGCAGGACGCAACAAACAGCAGGCATCCCACAGGACAACCAACATCTGGTTGAGAACCCACACGATATACTATGCAGCCGCAGAGGAGTGGGCGTCCACAGAGTCGGCCGGATCAGAGACCTCCAACGCTAACCAGAGTGAGCTCCTGAGTTGCTGGATGAGTGGTAGGGGAGCTGGAGTAACAGGAACTGGAGGAGAGAAGAGCCAGAGGACGAGTGGGGGTGGTAAAAGTGGGAGAAGTAGTCGCAACTCCACTGACCACCTGTGGAATGAGGGTCAGGTGCCTGGACTGCGGCAGGAGCAGCAGCAGACGAGTGCCCTGGAGGAGGAGCTGGATTTGATTGCGAGTGTGGCAGCTGCAGTGCAATGTGAGAGGAGAAAGAGCACGAGTGACCAAACAGGAACTGCAGCAGCAGACGTATCAGACAAGAAGAACAAGGAGAAGGAGAAGGAGTGTTCCAATAGGGAAGTGCATGTTCACTCTTCCTCCTCTTCCTTCATGCAGGACCCCTCGATCGAAGTGTTGCTGCTCCTCAGGGTGCTTCACTCTCTCAACACCCACTGGAAAACTCTGTATCAGGTATCCAACTTAATGAAATGCAGTGCAATCCTTGGCGCAATGATTAAGAGTCGATGAACGTAGCTCAGGCTCTCATATAGGTCGCGATGAGGAAAATATTAGAAATTTTTCACGCTCAAATTTATTTTTTCGCGGTGTGACTTTTGATTTCTTTCTCGAAGCTCAGTGCATTTCCATTGTTAAAAGGAAAGCAAATTCCACTATCGAACAGCAAAAGTCACACGAAACGTGATCGACTTCTAGTTTCAGAAGTAAAATTTAGTTATCGCATTTCCCAGTGGAATGAAAATTGTACCTATTGATCCAGTTTTTGCAAATTGGGTTAATTTAATCAAAAAAAGTGTTACTCATAAATTGTTCTAGAAATTTCCAGATCTTTAAAGGCATGTATTTTTTTGGAAATTCGGAGTCATTATTTGTTTTCTGTTTATTGACTCTTTTCCAACTATCTGTTGGCTATGTTTGAGTAAGTAAATTGTTGTTCCAGCAGCCGCAGTCAATATTGCACAGTGTGGTGTCCCCTTCCGCGCCGGCGGTGCCTGCTTCCTGTTTCCTCAGTGTCAAGTTACAGTCGAAGGTCTCTCGTCAGCTGCAGGATCCTCTGGGCGTGATGACGGGCGATATGCCCCCCTGGATTCACCACATCCCCCGCAAGTTCCCCTTCCTACTCGACTTCGAAACCAAGAGGACGCTGCTATATGTGACTGCATTTGACAGGTGATCAACTTCTGTTCTCACACGCTACTTCCACTCATGTTTTTAGTGTAGTAGTAACATAATTAGTGATTGTGTTGCTGTGTAGGGACAGAGCCCTGTTGCGTCTGCAAGAGATGGCGCAAACTGAGGGGGGTGGATCAGAGAGGGGAGGGGACGGGGGTACTGGTCAGGGGACTGCATCCTCCCACCCTTACAGACAGGACTCCTCGGACACCATCACGCCCAGATTAGATAGAAAAAAGGTTGAATAATTCCACTAAGGATATAGTTCACCTTATTAATGACCTGTTTCTTTTCATGTCACCATTTTATGAATACCAGTTTTGAAAATACTTTATAAAATATTATCTGAGAAATTAAGCATTATGAGAGCGGTTGTTGATCATATTCTACAGCGCTGAGTTACGCGTAACAGACAGCATGCAGAGAAATGGAACAGCATAGAGAAATGAAATGGAAAAGAGTCGTATTGGTTGGTTGGTCAAGTTAACTTTAGGTGACAGAAGACAGAGTATGGCTGTGATGTATTGTAAAGTGTCCTGATGTGTGTGTGTGTTGATGTGTAGCGTATCGTGACGAGACAGTGTGGGGTGGGGGAGGGGGAGGGGGGCAGTGGGAGTGGGGGAGTGATGTTGAAGGAGGCGGAGAGTGTGCTGGAGGAGATGGGCAGTTGGCGGGGTCTCTTGGAGCTGCAGTTCCGGGATGAGGTGGGCAGTGGTCTGGGTCCCACCCTGGAGTGGTACACTCTTGTCTCTCACCACCTCATGCGCACAGACCTCCTCATGTGGAGACACAGCACCACCACCAACACTACTCAACACACACCCACACACTCGCCATCCAGCCAGCCACCTGCCGCATGTCAGTACAACTCCATCATTTCCACGCGCCATTCTTTAACATCCCAATGAAATCTAGACAACACTTCAAACAACAACTTTTGCCACCTGAGTTGTACACTTGCATTAAGCAGGGTTGTTGGTACCGGGTCGTACATTTTTTCATTTCCATTTAATCAACTTGTGGACTCGTATTGCGTCTTGTAATTAGCAAAAAGGTATCTAGATGTTTCAATCAGGGAACTGGAACCTGATCTAAACTACATTTTATGATTGGATAATTTAGATATTTTACCAATGTAAAGTATTTAATATTAACCAATCATGATCCATCAAACTAACAACCCACTTATTTGTAAGTGCTGAAGTTACTTGTAATTTCAGCACCAGAGAGATTTGAATTTAACTTAGAAATTAGTTGGACTCTCCCGAGCACTTCAGCAGCCGCAATAAACCAGTATACCCTAGATCTATTGAGCCTAGCAGAGACTAGTTAAACAACCTGAGACTAGATAGTATAAGAGTAAGATTAGGATCGGTATTAGACTAAGAAGTTGCACGAATCTATCCGGCCGAAAATAAGATAGCGTGACGAGCAGACGGTGTACCCTATCCGAAATTACTCTATGAGTTAACCAACTCGGTCCTAACTCATCTGGTGCGACCATAAGTCTCGAACAAGACCTTAATAGCTTAGAATTAACCAAAATAGATTAGAAATAAGACAAAAACATTTACAAAATGTTATACGACAATAATTTAATCGAAATGTCTCTACGACTCAATAGATCAGAGCCAATATTCCGAACCATAACAGAACTACCCGGAATTGGAAGAAGACCTCGAACCAGAGACGACATACGACAAAGTAGAAACTTGCCATATAGCTATATGATAGTTCGGCAAAAGCCAACACAAACTTTTGTATTTAGAATACTACTAGCAATGAATTTAGATTTTCATTTGCAAACATAAAATTTTGAAGTCAATGTTCAAAATCATTTCAGGCGCTAAACAAAATTATTAATATACAATAACGATTGATAAAAAGATCTAAGATCGTTTTCCTAAAACTCTGCAGTAATATACAAAACATGTTTGAAAAATATTTATTGAAAAATAAAAAATAAAAATTAGTAGCATGACAATAAATGGTTAGTAATCATAAATCATCCTGTTGTTCCAGCTCCATCATCTAAAACATAACAGCAATCATAAACCCACTAATATCATCAAAATACTAAATCTTTCCTTTACACACATTTAAAATTTTATTAAAACTTAAATTCACTTAATTTTAAAACCAGATCATCAAGGCTTATCCTTGGATCTTAAATCATTTTCTACTTAATTAAATTTCAAATTTGATCATCAAGGCTTATCCTTGGATCAAACAGAACTACTTTGTTCTCCCCCACCCACTTAATTAGTGTCTAACGACCTCAAACGTCGATTCACTACCCAACCCTTTCTAAAGACCTAAGACTAATAGAAATTTTTAAACAAAACTAATCATTCAAATTAGGATAAACAGTGAAGAACTTCGGTTATTCATCCTTCACTTGACCCCCCCTCTTACCAGACCCAGGATAAATCTTAGACTTAGTAAGTTTAAAATAGTATCTAACGAACTACTCGCGTTCTAATTATACCTGAACCTTGTGGATCGATTTACTATTCTCCAACCCTTGAACACAATCACTACCCCTAAGTAAGATTAAGTAAGTTAACACCTTAACTTATACTAGCCACGAGAAAGTAAAAAATCATTCTTCGGAATCGATATACTTTTCTCTCCAACCCTGAACAAATAGACCCAGGTTAAGCTAACCAAAAAATCGTAAGAACTAACAGTTTAGGAAAATAGAAATCATTTAACAACCTTTTGCATCCGTCATCCTAAACCTTATGTCATTTAAAAACCTAGGAAATAAGCAAACAATCGTTTTACACAATTGTGAAATAGATAACAAAAAATACGACCTTGTAATCACACCTCATACACAAACAGTTGGATACATTCGAACAAAACGACAAACACTAAAAAGAAAAATAATAACGAAACAAAGACAAATAACACGAAAAAGATTTTCAAAAAATCGAAACGCATTTTCAGAATCAGAAACCAACAGTTTAGACGAACTTTACAAACTAAAAGAATCAATAGATAAAAATTGCCCACTTCACGATCAATTATATTTTTCTGACTCAGAAACAACTTCAAATTCATCAAAAAGAGGAAAAAGAAGAATAAAAAAGCAGTATAAACACAAACCAGTACATTTATACAATTGGAATCAACCAATTCGACACATTAATAATTACATATTAACAGTCATCGAACGAAAAAATGAGCTCAACGCACACCCCAGGTGAAGAAAGTCCAGATGATGATGAAATCTTTCCTTTTATAATAGATGCAACCACTGATAGAGGACAGCATATATTTTGCAAAAATTTACTATTAAATTTATTTGAACCCGGAATCAGTCCATGTAAAACAGAGTTCCCAGATGTAAAAATCAAAAGACAAATCATAGACCACTACTTAAAAGATATATGCAACATAACACAACAGTATGGAATCTACTCCATAGAATTCACCTCACCAAACCATAATAATAGAAAATATACAATTCAAACAGACGATCTTGATTTAGAATTTTCAAAAGTTTTTTCAGAATATATAAAAAGCATCCAATATCATAACTCACAAAGAGCAAACTCCATATTCACCAATGAAGTTTTCGCAATAATATATAGTTATATTTCGATATTAGAAAACGAAATCCCAATAACAAATGTCTCACCGACAGAAACATCTAAACATTTAAGAGTACGACATGAAATCACACTACTCTCTAGTTATTTAAACATCATTAAAGAAAATTTCACGAAAGACGACGTTTCACAACATACAAAACACGATCTACAAAAAATTTTGGCATGGTTCATAATAGATTATTTCACACACAATATTGATTTAATTGCACAAGCAAGAAAAAATTTTAGACCCCAAAACTCGAACGATGATACCGCTATCACAGAACAATCAGATTATGTTTGGGACCCCGAATGGTCTCATCCCGCATTTATAAGCTTCCCACAATCAATCTCAAGTCAAGCAATAAGTACGATATCTTACATAAGAGATTATGTAAAAGTAATACCATTAACCATTGATGCAACACCATTAAACTATAATACATTTTTGCCCGATACACAAAATAATAGTTTAAACTCTACAGTCATACACAATGAAAACCTCAATGGAACTAGGAATCTTACTCAACAAGATATCCAGACACCATCACACTTCATAAATGAAGAAATTGTACACACAACAACTACACAACAAAGTATTTCACCAATACGCCCAAATTTAACAACACCAAGAAATACAAATCCTTCACAAACACAGGTAACCTTACAATCAACCGTTAAACCTTCGGTTGCTCCTAAATATTCACATATGGATTACCAAACATACAGACCCATGACAATACCATCAAAAACACGCAAAACATTCACTAGAAACAACTTTGCAGACCATAATTATAATTATACACATCCATCAAAAACATATAATCAACCACAAAGAAATTTTAACCAATATACAAGATCTCGAAATTGGGATAACCCAATGACCCAACCTAATTCAATAAATTTCCAAACAAATCCTCCACAGGATCACAGTGAAAATTACCCATTTTTTCAACAAAATAAAAATAAAAAACAGACATCTTATCAAATGGATTATTTATCCTCAGATGATGATTTCTTACAACCAGATATATTTGCACCAAATACTCAAGAATATCGTAGACAAGGAATACAGAGAACACGTACAAATCATAGAAATTTTTCTCCACAACCAATAGATGCACAACATCAACAACCAATTCAACAACAAAATCTAATTAATACACAACCTTTTCAACCAATTCAACAACAAAATCCAATGACTGCACACTCGTATCAACCATCACAAATGCAAAATGAAATACCACTCCCATATTATCTCCAACAACATGAAATAACAAGAAACCAACTTTCAAATTTTTCTCAAATGCCAAATGCAGCAGAATCATTACAAATGACAATGAATCCATACCTTATGGGTGGATCATCAATAACATCAAACAAACCTTTAATGGTTTTCACAGGAACAGACCCTGAATACTCTGTAGAAGATTATTTAAATGCAGTAACAGCAAACCTGATTTTAAATATTGGACCTGAACCAATTAATACGCCACTACATCAAAACTGGATACATCGACGCACAGCGTTAATACAAACAACCTTAGATGGCGCAGCCCAAAAATGGTTTTCAGTACTACCTCTAGAAATAAAATCAAACTGGAAAAGGTTTACACAGGAATTTTCAAAAATGTTTGACTCAGAAAGAAACAAACAACAACAAAGAGTTTTATGTAATGAAATTCGCAGATTACCAAACGAAACCATCAAGCAAATAGCAGTACGAATCGAAACACTAGTTCGAAAAGCATATTCACTAAATACGCACGACTATAAAAACACAAAGATGACAGAAATCTTAATGATGACCTTAACACCACAATTAAGGAAAATAGCAATAAAAAAGAGAGCATCCCATCCTTCTTCAATTCGAGAACCCGATTTAGATTTTCGAAAACTAGTAGACAAATTAGAACAAGCAGAAATCACGATGAAACTAGAAGAAACGGAAAATCTGAAATTACAATACGTTAACAGCATTGAAACGACTCCCACTAATATTAATAATATACAGGAATCAGAGACAGACCTCGTTGAAAAAATCACTGAAATACTCAATATTTACGAAAAGAACCCAAACTTTAAAGGCAAACCATCTTTCAAAAAATGGTGTAATTATTGCCGACGATACGGACATAGTATTTCCGAATGTAGACAAAAACAGCAAGACAATCAAAATAAACCTCAAAAATATAAAGAACCAAATAAATCATTCTATCAATACATGAAAAAAGATCAAAATCTACCGAACAAAACAGT